GTGTGGTTGTGTGTGTGTGTGGTTGTGTGGTGTGTGGTGTGTGTGTGGTGTGTGTGTGTGTGGTGTGTGTGTGTGTGTGCTGTGGTGTGTGTGTGGTGTGTGTGTGTGGTTGTGTGTGTGGTGGTGTGTGTGTGTGGTGTGTGTGGTTGTGGTGTGTGTGTGTGGTGTGTGTGTGTGGGTGTGGTGTGTGTGGATGTGTGTGTGTGCGTGTGTGTGTGTGTGGTGTGTGTGTGTGTGTGTGTGTGTGTGGTGTGTGTGTGGTGTGTGTGTGTGGTGTGTGTGTGTGTGTGTGGTGTGTGTCGTTGTGTGTGTGTGCTGGGTTGTGCGTGTGTGTGTGTGTGGTGTGTGTGTGTGGTGTGTGTGTGTGTGTGTGGGTGTGTGTGTGTGTGTGTGGGTGTGGTGTGTGTGTGGGGCTGTGTGTGTTGTTGGTCGTGTTCAGTGTGTGGTGTGTGGTCGTTGATGTTGCGTCGTGTGTGTGTGCTATTTCGTGCTGTGTGTGTGGCTTGTGTGTTGTGGTGTGTCGGTGGGGTTTGGTGTGTGTGTGGCTGTGTGTGGTGTTGGACGATGTGCGTGTGTGGGTTGTGTGTGTGTTTGACGATTGGTTGCATGTATTGAGTACATGAATAGTGCATTGTTGTGTGGGTTGTGTCAGTGAATTGTGTGTGTGGCTTTGTTGCTTTTGTTGTGGATTGTTTACTGTGTGTGAATTATTGGTCATTTATGCCATAATGAATAGATGGTATATTGAAAATTACTGTGGCGTTTGTGGTATTGTTTGGATTACCTTTTATTTGTCGGGATTTAATAATCTCATTTTGCTATATTATTTCTTATTCACTGATTAAACTTGTGATAGAGCCCTATCAAACTTTTGTTGCTTGTATTGCATGTTTGATTTAGACTTGTGTAGCAAGATTTTTGAATCTGTACATAAATGATTGCAAAATAATGACCATTAAGACGTTTTGTTTAATTATAATTGTTTGTATTTTACAATAGTTTCAAATTTTTTTAGATAATTACAGCATTCATGTACAGCATCCAATAATTTTTAGTACACTTATTGAAAGTCATTTCTCAAAGGAATGTTTTTTGTTGAAAAGTTCACTTTACTCAAACTTCCTATTTCTAGTTTTTACAGGTTTCAATTAAAATAAAGCATAATTCTACTAGCAAATACATACAATTTATTACCAGATCAAACTGCACAGCATTGAATATAATAGTTTAAATAGATACAAGCTTAATTTCTCTCTAATTGGTTCCATTTTTAGCTTTGAAAATATTCTGAATTTTTAGCAGCATTCAAGCTGGAAGGCAACTCATCCATCATCATATTAAATAATTTGACTAAGATCTTGAAACCATAGTACTTTTTTAACAAGAATATTTCAAACTTAGACTAAGATGTGTCATAATAAATTTCATAAAGAAACTTCTATTGACTGTTAATATTGTTTACTGATTAATCCACCAAAAACCTCCATGCACTACTCTTAAAATTTCATTTTCCCAATAATGTATTTCGTAACATTCCCTTTTTAAAATTACGAAAACTAAAACCTTAATTTTCCAGAGCCCTTGTTAAATAAAATAAATTTCATCTTTGAAAAAATAATTTATAAAAGAACCATTATGATCTTTTAGAAAGGTATATTCAAGCGGTTTAAAATGCCCGCTTATCAAAAAAATGGATTTAAGAATTTAAATTTACTCCTTTTAAAAATTGGTTCCATATCATAGATTTTATTTCCAATCCAGGTTTTTACACAAGACAGGCATGCCATCAAACAATTCATAGTTTCCTATGAATTTTCAATTAAATATTTTGTATTTCTCAGCTTTAAAAACTTTTACTTTTTGAAACAATCTTCCCTTTTAAAGGTTTATGTTATTGGAATAAATTTTAAATAAAGCTAAACTCTCTTGAACATACATAGTTCAATTATTTTTACATTATAAAATCCAAGGAAACAAAAATATGTCATAACTGCAGACAGCAGCAGTATGTATTGCCAAGACTGCAATGGTGTTTCAGGCAAAACCTGCCAGCAATTATGGTATAAAAAAAGTAATTATGGTAAAAAAAAAAAGTTAAGTGCAGCAGAAAGCTTTATTTATAAAAATTTACTCTGACTCTATAAAAAAAAAAGTCAATGTGTGGTCCCCACACAATCATTTCTACCATGTGATGATGGTGCTCTTGCCAAGTGTCATATTACACCAAGACCAAGGTTGGTACATGCCTATCTCAAGAGCCAAAGCAGTGCTTTTCCTATATTCTTTCTACAATTAAATTTGTCCAACATGAATCCACTGCAGCTTGTAATGCTACAACATCGTTCCCTTTCAAGGTTTTCTGGTGACTAGGGAAAAGTTACAGGAAAAACAGTCACAGAAAAAAAAAAAACAGGAAAAAAGTCAAGTGTCAACAAGGCAAATGTTACAACAAACTTAATATAGTTTAGATTAGACTAAGTTACATAATAACTGGATTAGACTGTTTGGTTAGGTTAATTTAGGTTAGATTTTATTAGACGAGGCTTAGTTTATGTTAGTTTGGGTAAGGCTAGGTTAATTTTGCTTAGTTTAGGTTAAAGTTAGTGTCCCGTAGCTTGGTTGGTAGCACACTCGTTGAGTGTGTGATTCGATCCTCGGTATGGGTGGAAACATTGGCAGTTTCCTTATACTTGCTGTCCCTGTTCACCTAACAGTAGGTAGGTACCTGGGTGTTAGCCGACTGGTGTGGGTCACATCCTGAGGGACAAAATTAACCCAAGTTGCGTGAAATGCTCTCTATAACCAGGAGCTTTCTATAAAGTATGTCACTGATGTCAGCTAGGTTTGTATAGGTTGTATCATGTACTTTTAGATATAAAGATGATTATTATTTAAAAAAAAAAAAAAAAAAGTCACCAAATTTTCTTGTGACTATTCCTAGTCAAACATGACTCTCCTGTTTAACCAGGCTGTTGCTGTTGGCAGTCCACTGAGTCACAGCCATTGCAGGCTGGTTCACCAGTCACTTGGCAGAGGGAGTGATCCAGTTCTCTTGAAAACTTCATACTTGTTCCTGCAATATTTCTGTTATCTGTAGTTAGATATTTTCAACACTACAGTAATTATGTTGGTATTATTTATTATTTTTCCATCACGTCAATACTCCTAATTCTATGGCTTTACAGAATGGATATGTAGTGGTCAACCTTTCCTATGAAGATAGGCTGAAGGTACTGAATTTGCTGTAGATTTAAATTTGAAGGTACAGGAAAGCACTGGATTAGCAAGAGTTGAAGATGAATGGAATGGGATCTCAAGTAGTGTCACTGGAGATAACTTTTGGGTGGCTTTAAAAATGGGTTGGACAGGGAGTAGGAATGGATGGGTGTAAGACATGCCTAGAATGGGTCAGTAGGCCTGCTTCAGTTCCTTTATTCTTGTTATTATACTTCTCTGAGGGTGAGTGTATCTTGGTTAATACAGGTGTGACTATAGTGAATTTAGCTAGTTAGGTTAGGTACTTATTTCTTCCACCTAAGCTAAAACCTATAGCTACTACTTATGCTGCTGCTGCTGTATAGTACTATGAGCCAGAGTAGTCTTGATTAGGCAGGTCTAGTCTTGATGTTTTAGTTTGTTTTAAGCAGGTAATAAATGCTTTCAGAATGGGAGATGCTGTTACTGCAGCATGATTTTATGATATACAGTCCAAAAATGACTGGCATGAATTTTGGCTTAATGCTCTCTTGAGAGCCAACTCGATAAGGTCAGTTAGAAATTATTCAAGCTGGGGTAAATTTGTCAGCTTCAAGTTAAGGTTCTCATATGCCCCCCCCCCAACCTTTTAGTAAAATTCCAAAATGCTTTGCTTTATCAGAAAAAACATTATAGTCATAGGGAAGTGCTAAATTTGTATGCATAATACAATGCCTAGTTTGACCCAAAGAACATGAGGGGTGGCTCAAATTCCATGGATCAAACCCTACTGCCAGCATTGAGTCACCCCCTGAAGGTTCACTACTGAAGTGATACCTAGCAATGGATGAAATGAAATGCGAAGAGCACAAGTGTCAACATCCAGTTGTGATGCTCCTCTCACTACATTTATGGTCAAGAACACAAAACTAAGTCATTTTGGCTATATTGCACAGAGCATGTAATTAGTGTTCATGAGAAAGATTTTAACACAAGGGTATTAATAATTTCAATACATTTAATGTCTTTATTATTCATTAATGAGTTCAGCCTTCTCTCTACATCAATTTCATGCTTTAATGCAAAAAGCTTAAAAAAATTACAGCAAAACTGGTTTGTAAAAAATACTTTAAACCAACAAATAAATTTCATACATACACTATGTTTTACTTTTGATGTATTCTTAGTGCTAACTCATTCATATGTATACCTAAACTCTAAAAATAAAAATGTCTGAAGACTAATTTGGAATCGCACATCTCGTCGAGTCTCAAACAATAACAAAGAATTGCGATTACCACAGCAACGCTATCAAACAATACCACCCTCATGAAATATACTGCCCCAATCGTACAGTACATAGTCATGAAATGTTTATTAACCAACATAGATACATACACATACACGGCAATGTAAACGATAACTGCAATGACGTAATAAACAGTACAATAAGTTTATTAAGCAAGTAACAGGTCTGAGTAAGAAAGAATGAACATTACGAAGAGACCGTAGAAGGCAAGACGTCAACACCCTATACGAACATCAACCTCTCCAGAATTGTGATAATTTAAATCTATATTAGACCATGTAATTTTAAAAGTTGTTTATCCTACACACTGCCAACAACAGTAAATAAATGGTCGCTGGAGCCCAGGTATGAACATATAATTTTGTATTAGGGTGTGATAAACAAAGCAAGTAATTTCAATAAGTGCAGATATAATAATAGAGATGATATAAGTAAGTGAGGTTGTTAAAGTGATGATAAATGAGTGTGAGGAAGGGAAGTGTTAATATGGTCTTACCCTAGTAGTGTTGCATCATTCACTAAGACACTTGTTATGTTGAGCAGTCATAACAAAGTCTTGCACATCACTACGTGTTGCCTGGCACTGTGGCACTCCTCACTGGTGCCTCAAACAACGTATTCTCACTTAATATTACATAACGCTAAACTGCCTTTGTAAAATATAGCTCCAGTGGCCTGGACAACCCTTCACTTGCACTTTTTCCCTCACACAACACTTACTGACACTTGTATTGCATTCAGTTTTTCATAATGCCACATAAACTTGCTTTTGCAATAGCAAGGATGCACGTATATGTAGGGGAAGGTGAGAATTATGGTAGTGACAACAAACACTGAGCAGGTCTGGGGAGGGCGCTCGTAGCGTCCCTCACTTCACACACTATTTTCAACTTAATGGCGTCACTTATAAGGTAGTTGATGGTTTATGTAGGTTGTGTGATGTGTGTGGCAGGTAGTGGCACAGGTGGGCAGGCGACACTCACTCACCAACCACCATAATCACCACAAAACTTTACCCACACTGCTTGTGGCGTCGGCCATAACGGCTTTGGTTTCAAAATGGCGGGTAGAAGAAGGTGAGAGGCGCCGGGAGCCGCGCACCACTAACACGCTCCTCCCTCCTGCACCTCTAACACCACTCTACAACCACTCGAACAACACTCTACAACCACTCTACAACCACACACTCCTCTCCTACCATCCACTCTCACCATATACATTATAAAACATCAAACTTAGAAGTATTTTGCTTATGGTTGTAGAGTTATGGCTGCCTCAGCTTGTGAGGGGGAGACGCCACGCTCACATTATAGAGCCAAGTGTAGAGTTATGGTGGGAGACGGAGCAACAAGAGTGTTGTAATACCCTCTATTGATGGGCGTGGGTGTGTGATGGCGGGCGTGAAGGGCGGGATGACCACCAGACGCCATGATAATATGAGATAGAGGGCGGTGACGCGGCGCTCAACAATGGCTGCTTGAGCCTAGCCACCGCCGCCACCTGATTGGTCCACACAGGTCACATGACCCACGCCCCTCACACCCCCTCATAACACCACCACCACCTTTATTATGAGTCACCTGGTGTAGCAGCACAGGTGGTGGTGCATGGTGGCGGCCTAGTGAGCATCACACATGAGGTTATGAGTCAAGAATATGGTGGTGTTAAGGAGTGAGAGGAGGAAGAGTGAGGAGCGTCCATCACTGCTACACCATCATGGCCGCCACCGCTATGACGTCATCAACCTTCCAACATTATCTCACACTCAACAACACTTAACACTATCTTAACTCTTATAAAACAACTCACCACACTATATTAAACCACACCAACCATAACACAACTTCTCCATCCAACTTACCCTAATTTTTCAACAAGATTTTAATGCTATATCAAGTAAATACATTATTATAAAGTATATAAGACAAGTTGATAACATCACATGGCAGTGTTTGTGTTTAGTGTAAATATTGTGTAGGTGCTGCTGGAGCTCCACCACCACGCTTATTATACCTAGTATTACCATAATACACAGGTAATATCTACTTTATACACCACCAGGACCACCTGCACACACTCACTCTACCACACACTAGTCTTATATACCTGTATATAACACTAGTTTTGAATGAAGACAGTAATAGTGATGATGATGTTGCTGCACCTGACACTAACTTTATTATATTTAACTTAATATTTACTACACTCTTGCGGGTTTAACGCTCCTACCTCACTCTAACAGTGGTAATATTTGTTGGTCTTAAATTTACCTGTGTATACGTGCTTCACTTGCACTTCTTCAGTGTTTATCTTAATATATTACAGGTGTAATATACCATCAACTAGATGAGCGAAACGTGCACCAATGTGTGTCAGACTTCTTTATTTTCAGACGTTTCTGCAGCTTCTCACATGTACATGTGAGATGATGAGTGAGTGTGTGATCGTGGAAGTGTGAGGTGGTCAGTCCCTCACCCTGAACTTGTCTTCACCTTAATAACTTTACTTACAATTAACACACCTACTAATATATATTAAATTACCCAGGATAACCCAGGATAACCCACACAACTTAGACAAGTGACTTACTTCCAGTCGAGTACTTCGTGGATTTTGACTTTTTGTGTTATCCTAGATAATATATTCACATGTTACTAGGTATAATATATCTTACTAGGTATGATAATATATTCACATGTTACTAGGTATAATATATCTTACTAGGTATGATAATATATACACATGTTACTAGGTATGATAATATATTCACATGTTACTAGGTATAATATATCTTACTAGGTATGATAATATATTCACATGTACTAGGTATAATATATCTTACTAGGTATGATAATATATACACATGTTACTAGGTATAATATATCTTACTAGGTATGATAATATATTCACATGTTACTAGGTATAATAATCTTACTAGGTTGAGATAATATTCACATGTTACTAGTATAATATATCTTACTAGGTATGATAATATATTCACATGTTACTAGGATAATATATCTTACTAGGTATGATAATATATACACATGTTACTAGGTATAATATATCTTACTAGGTATGATGATATATTCACATGTTACTAGGTATAATATAGCTTACTAGGTATGATAATATATTCACATGTTACTAGGTGTGATAATTGTACTTATGTGTACTTGTACCAAAGTAAACTTACTGCTTACAGCTACTACTACAACAACTACTAAAACTACAACAACTACAAAAACTACAAGTACTAAAATTACAACTACTACACCTATTACAACCACTACAACTACCACAACTACCACAACTGCCAATACTACAACTACTACTACTATTATTCCTACTACCATTGCTACTACTAGTACTACCACCATCATTCCTACTACTACTACTACCTATCATTCCCTACTACATCTACACCCATCATTCCTACTACTACATACCTCATCATACTACCTATCTCTCATACGCTACTGCCATCTATTCCTACTACTACTATTACTCATAACATCATTCCCCTACTGAGGGACTGACCATACCTCAAACTACTACATCTCTACTAAGGTTAGCACTGACAATCATTGTCCTCGAAACTCTTCTGTTGTCCATTTACATTTCTTTATCTCACTATGAACTACTATGTAAAAATTTTTTACACATAAATTCTGATATTTTAACCACGTGAGGAGGGTTACTGCCAGTAACCCAAGAAAGTCAGTAGCTCTCCTCACTAATGATTGAGACTGTTCCTGACCATCGGTAAAAGTCATCGCTAAGCTAGGAATACTGTAATGAGGTGTTTGTCATCTGTTATTGTTTTAATGCACCTTTCACTTTTATCATTCTGGTATATTCTAAATGTATACAGTAGAACTAACATCATTGTAATAAACAATAAGAAATTCAGTTCTAATATACATTATTAGATCAACTGGTCAGAGCGTGAAGTCTAGCCATGCGGTAACAAAGTAGTCGTAAGTGAGAGCTTACTCATTAGATGCTTATTTCCATTGTGGTCCTTCATCTTGTCCCCCAGAATGCATCCCACACCTGTTCACTATCACCCAGGTACCTACTTACTACTAGGTGAACAGGGACAACAGTTGTAAGGAAACATGCCCAACATTTCCTCCCATACTGGGAATCAAACCAAAGACAATGTGAGAGGCGAGTGCATTGCCAACTGAGCCACGAGACACCCATGTCTTGTATACTTTTTGATGTATACCATTATTATACTGATAGGTAATGATTTAAATCCCCTACATAAAGTGTTAAAGTATCCTAGTCCAAGTGTTTACAGGTAACATGAACCAGAAATTATCACTGACTTTACAAGTTATTGCTGACTTTACAAATTATCGCTGACTTTACAAATTATCACTGACTTTACATATTATCACTGATTTTACAAATTTACCTCCATGTTTGCTTTCTTATCCACTTGAAATTAATTTTTTTATTATGGTAATCATAGTGAGGTTGCTTTGGTAATAAATTCACTGAAAAATAAGGCAAGAAATTTAGCAAATTTGCTTTCACTTACGTCAAAAAAAAAAGCTCGTTCTTTGTCACCCATCATTGCAACAATGTTCAATAAATAGTTAAAAACTATAACACAATGTTAAGACAGCAGGGTCCTAATGGAAGTAAGTCACTTTGTCTTGACTTTTTTTTTGGGTTATCCTGGGTAATCTACACATATGCTGCTATGTATGATAATTTATGTAACTGTATTGATGCGTACCTCTACTTGAATAAACTTACTAGCTTAATCTAAAATCTTCACAAAATTAATTTACAAGAGAGTGTACTGTTTCTTAGTGTCCCACAATATACGCACTCAGGCCCTTTGGTTTGAGACCAATAAAAAGTGCAAATGGTGCAATTATAAAAATGCTGGGCTTGCTTTATGCAGCTTTTGAGAAAACTGATATCCACTGGGCCTCTTTATAGACCTTAGGAAAGCTTTCAGTAATAATAATAATACAGTTGACCCCCGGTTTTCGTAATTAATCCATTCCAGAGAGAGTGACTAAACCTGAATCTGATAATTTCCGAATTAATTTTCCCTATAAGAAATAATGGAAATCCAATTAATCCGTTTGACACCCAAAAGTTTTAAAAAAAAAAATTTTACATTTCCCTTCACAGAAAACAATGAGACATGCAAAATAAAACAATACTAAAATGACACTTACCTTTAATGAAGACTTATTGATGAGTGATGAGACAGGAGGAGGGGAGAAGATGGAGGTGTACATACTATTGTTTGGAAGGGGAATCCCCTTCCATTAGAGACTTCAGGTACCAAGTCCTTTTCTGGGGTTACTTCCCTTCTTTGTTTTATGATGCCACTAGGACCAGCTTGAGTCATGACCCCTGCCGCTCAAAAAAAGTGTTCCAGAGAGGTCTGTATCTGGTGTTTCTTTAAAGCTTCTCTAAAATGGGACACAACCTTGTCATTGTACATGTTGCCAACACGGCCTGCAACAGCTTTTTCAGGGTGAAGTTCAAAAAGCTTCCATAAATGTTTGCACCTTGCCCATTGTACAATTTCCAACATGGCCTGCAACAGCTTTTTCAGGGTGAAGTTCATCCATAAGTGTTTGCACCTTTGTCCACATTGTACAAATCTCCTTAATCTTTGAAGAAGGCACCTTCCTCCATCTCTCTTCTTCCTCCTCTGAAGCAATTTCCTGAACTGTGGTCTGTTGCTGTTGCAGATGAAGCTCTTGCAGCTCTGTAGTGGTTAGTTCTTCATCGTGGTCCTCCACCAACTCTTCCACATCCTCAAAACTCACATCCAACCCCATGGAATTCCCCAATGCCACAGTACTTTCCACAACTGACATAGGCTCCTAGGGTCAGCCCCAAACCCTTCAAAATCCCTCTCTTGTACACATTGTGGCCACAATTTTCTCCAAGCAGAGTTCAAAGTCCTGGAAGTCACTCCCTCCCAAGCCTTACCTATAAGGTTTATGCAGTGGAGGATATTAAAGTGATCTTTCTAGAACTTTCTTAGGGTCAGTTCAGTGTCTGAGGTCACTTCAAAGCACTTTTGAAACACTGGTGTACAGTTTTTTGAAATTTGAAATGACCTGCTGGTCCATGGGCTGGAGGAGAGGAGTGGTGTTAGGAGGCAAGAACTTCACCTTGATGAAACGAAACTCCTGCACCACTTGCTCTTCAAAGTCTGGAGGATGAGCAGGAGCATTGTCCATTACCAGGAGGCACTTGAGTTCCAATTTATTTTCCAGGAGGTATTTCTTCACACTGGGGCCAAACACTTCATTGAACCAATCAAGGAAAATGTCCCGCATGACCCTTGCCTTACTGTTTACCTTCCACATCACACACAATTTACTCTTGGCAACACCTGTTTTTCTTGAACACTCGCGGATTTTCAGAGTGATACACCAGTAAAGGCTTCGCTTTGAAATTCTCACTAGCATTACTACAAAACATGAGAGTTAGCCTGTCTTTCATAGGCTTGTGTCCTGGGAGTGCCTTTTCCTCCTGAGTAATGTAGGTCGTGTTTGGCATTTTCTTCCAAAAGAGGCCTGTTTCATCACAATTGAACACTTGTTGGGGTTTGAATTTTTCAGCCTCTATGTACCCTTTCAATTCCTGAACATACTTTTCAGCCGCTTTTTTGTCAGAACTGGCAGCCTCACCATGCCTTATCACGCTGTGTATGCCACTACACTTCTTAAATCTCCCAAACCAGCCATTGCTGGCCCTAAATTCACCAATATCAGCAGTTGTTCCAGGCATTTTCTTTACGAGATCATCATGTAGCTGCCTTGCCTTTTCACAAATTATTGACTGCATAACACTATCTCCTGATAATTGTTTCTCATTGATCCACACCAACAACAAAGTCTCCACATCTTTCAGTATTTGCAATCTCTGTTTTGTAAGCATATTTACACCTTTCGCAACAACAGCTTCCTTGATTTCCTTTCTCTTGGCCACAATAGAAGCAATGGTTGTACGGGGTTTGTTATACAACCTGGCTAGCTCGGCGACACGCACTCCACTTTCATATTTTGCAATGATGTCTTTCTTGAATTCTATAGTGTTCCTCACCCTCTTTACCAAAGGGCTGGCACTAGAAGCTTTCTTTGGGCCCATGGTGGCTTATTTAGCAGATACAAGCACTAAAAAGAATGGAATAATACAAAATGTATCGTATGAACACATGGGATCGTCCTCACTGGCTGATAAACAATGGCACACTGGCTGTATATGGTGTGTCAGGCCGCTCGGACCGTGCGGACATGTTCGGGACGAATGGCTAATACCGAGTTCAGTGACGATCACCGAGTCAGTATTTTGATGAAAAACGTTACTTATTCCGAACGTTACGAAATCCAACGACAATGTAATCCGGGGGTGCACTGTAATAATATCTTTATTTCTTCAATTCAATTCAAATTCAAAGTTTATTCTCTATAAGGATTACAATGCTGAGTTTACAGAATTTGGTTATTGTGTGGTTTACATGAAGTAAAATAATAATTACAGAGTGTACCACTAGAACACCTAGCATGGCTAGGCATTTCAGGCAGACTTAGATTAAATCTTAAATTTAAAATATTACAAATTATGAGGTAAGTTGGTATTATGGCTAAGTGACTAAATACTAGTTTGTGAGTTTAGCAATGTGAATGCTTTTGTTTTGGCACAATACATAGTTTCAGTATTGGAGTATCACAGGCCAACTTATGACTAGTTAGGATTCATTATTTTAAGATTGAGATTGAGATTGATATTTCTGTTTATGGTCAAATGGGTGAGTGAGTGTAAGTGTGAACCACCAGGTGGTATTCGTGTAATTAGTTGACAGGGTGTATCAGGGAGATAAGATGTTTTCTAATGGTAGTTTTGAAGGTGATGAATGTGTCTGCAGTTCTAGAGTTTTCAGGTAGGGTATTCTAGATTTTAGGGCCTTTGACATACATTGAATTTTTGTAAAGGTTTAGTCGGACACGGGGAATGTCATAGAGATGTTTGTGTCTGGTGTTATGCCTGTGAGTTCTGTCACAACTATCAAGAAAGTGTTTTAGGTCAAGGTTAATATTGGAATTTAAGGTCCTGTAGATGTAGATTGCACAGTAGTAAGTGTGGATGTACTGAACAGGGAGTAAGTTTAGATCTATGAAGAGTGGGGGGGGGGTGTTGCCAGAGATGGGATTTAGTGATTATTCTTACTGCAGCTTTTTGATGCCTAGATGACATCATTGAAAAACTACTATGTAGAAAGCCCCTTGTTATGCAGAGCATTTCGGGCAAATTAGATCAGTTTTGTCCCAAGATGCGACCCACACCAGTTAACTAACACCCTGGCACCCATTTTACTGATGGGTGAACATGGACAGCAGGTGTCCTATGGAAATATTTCCTAATGTTTTCCAGCTGTACCAAGGAATCAATCCCCAGACCTCAATGTGTGAGCTGAGTGGGCTAGCAATTGAGCTACAGTACACCACAACATCCTGCATCTGAAACGAGAACATTATAGTATCAGAGGTCATTCTCTTGCATACCTGAACACCTAACTGAACATATACATCAGTGATTTTCCCATGAATCTCAATTAAAACTTCTGTTAGCAGATGACACAAGTTTTGTCGTTTCTCAACCAAATCCAAATACGTACTCTCAGTAACACAATGAAAATAACTTTTCCTGTATGTCTACCAATAAACTCACTGTGCATAATTGGGAACAGAACTGCAAATGTTCCAATTGCTAATGATTTGTTGAACAAAGCTGCAGTAGTGGATGACAGCAACTGAGCCTATTTTTCTATATTAGTGGTGGGAAATTAGGTTTTCTGCCTTTTTTTTTTTTTTTTTTTGGTGAATTTATTATAATGGAGGCTGTATGACCCTTGTAGGTTTAGCACTTTGTTTTTATTATAGTAATAATAATATATGTACAGTGGACCCTCGGGTAACGATTTTAATCCGTTCCAGAGAGCTTGTCATTAACCGATTTTATCGTTATTAATCTGTTCCAGACAGCCAAAGTATTAAAAAAAAATTACATGAAATATACATTTCCCTACACAGAAAACAGTGAGACATGCAGAATAAATACATAAATAAATACTAAAATGACACCTTTATTGAAGAGCATTGATGAGTGATGAGATATTGTTTTTCTTGAAAACACTGGGATTTTCAGAGTGATACATGAGTAAAGGCTTCACTTTGCAATCCTCACTAGCATTACAACAAAACATGAGAGTTAGCCTGTCTTTCAATGGCTTGTGTCCTGGGAGTGCCTTTTCCTCTTGAGTAATGTAGGTCCTGTTTGGCATTTTCTTCCAGAACAGGTTTGTTTCGTCACAATTGAACACTTGTTGGGGTTGGAATTTTTCAGCTTTGCCATGCCTTATCACGCTGTGTATGCCACTACAATTCTTAAATCTCTCAAACCAACCTTTGCTGGCCTATAATTCACCAATATGAGCACTAGTTCCAGGCATTTTTTCTTGTTCACCTGGGTGTTAGTCGACTGGTGTGGGTCGCATCCTGGGGGACAAGTTAAGGACCCCAATGGAAATAAGTTAGACAGTCCTCGATGATGCACTGACTCTCTTGGGTTATCTTGGGTGGCTAACCCTCTGGGGTTGTTTCTCAGTAATTGTTTCTTGTTAAGCCACACCAACCACAGTCTTTCCACATCTTTGAGTAGTACAGTTGACGGTGGTACAGCAGCAGCTGATGGTGGTACAGCAGCAGCTGATGGTGGTGCAGCAGCAGTAGCTGACAGCGGTACAGCAGCAGCTGACGGTGGTGCAGCAGCAGCTGACCATGGTATGATAGTATTTCTCACCCTTTTTACCACAGGGTTGGCACTAGAAGCTTTCTTTGGGCCCATGGTGGCTTATTTAGCAGTAAAAACAATGGAATAATATAAAATGTATCGAATGTATGCGTGGAACCATCTGCCCTGGCTTGTAAACAATGGCACACTAGCTGAAGGCAGGGCAGCTGAGGCACTCAGGCCAGATGGACAGGCGGACGCGTTCAGGACGAATGTCCCTAACCGAGTTTTTCATCGTTGGCTGAGCCAATATTTTAACGCAAAGACACATCGATATCCGATTTTATCGCTAGCCGATGTCATCGTTACCCGAGGGTCCACTGTAATTGTGACCTCTGGGGTTAGTTGGGGCTAAATAGAGTGAGCTTGGATAACTTCCAGTAAGATAATCACTCTCCCGAGCATTAGATGTTGGAATTTTGCTAGCTAGCCTTGATCCTATAATAGAGAATTAATCATTTATTGTGTTGGCTGTTTCAGCAGGCTGGATGTGAATTTCATTTGGTTAAGACTATATCTTTGGTTTTGGCTAGCTTTTGAGAGCCCAGGATTTGGGAAAGGGTTTTCCAGGTCCTTTTGATATTCCCATTTATTTCATTAAACCAGCTTGCATAATATAGTGGCCTGGTGGCTAATGCTCTCGCTTCACACAAGGAGGGCCCGGGTTCGACTCCCGGCAGGTGGAAACATTTCAATGTGTTTCCTTACACCTGTTGTCCTGTTCACCTAGCAGCAAATAGGTACCTGGGTGTTAGTCGACTGGTGTGGGTCACATCCTGGGGGACAAGATTGAGGACCCCAGTGGAAATAAGTTAGACAGTCCTCGATGACACACTGACTTTCTTGGGTTATCCTGGGTGGCTAACCCTCCAGGGTTAAAAATCTTATAGTATATTAGACTTCCTTATTAGATTGGTAAGTACTGATGTATAGTTTTTTGTTTGTTCCTTAGTCATTAATCCCACTCTGAACTGTTTTTCATAGTTGTGTTTTTTGTCAATGGACCTGAGGATACTGTTTGTTAGCCATGGACTATTTAGTTTCTTTGCTGTGATCTGCTTAATTTTAATTGGACAGTGGCTGTTGTAGAGACTTTTTTTTTTGTGCGTGTGCGTGCGTGCGTGTGCATGCGTGTGCGTGTGCATGCGTGTGTGTGTGTGTGTGCGCTCACCTAGTTGTACTCACCCCTAGTTGAGGTTGCAGGGGTCGAGTCCTAGCTCTTGGCCCTGCCTCTTCACTGGTCACTACTAGGTCACTCTCCCTGAACCATGAGCTTTATCATACATACCTCTGCTTAAAGCTATGTATGGATCCTGCCTCCTGTGTGTGTGTGTGTGTGTGTGTGTGTGTGGTGTGTGTGGTGTGTGTGTGTGTGTGAAAAACTCAGGCCCTTTTATTAGTTTCCCAATTGTCAGTAAATTCACTGTGCCAGTCATTGTCACTTATTGCTGAAATAACATGATTTATTGAGGACTCATCATGGAGACAAAATGAGAATTTACTAATGTCTTGTGGCAATTTATATAAGTTGGTTATGAGAAAGATGGGATAGTGAGGAGTAGTGTTGTCTGTGATTATCCCTGCTTTGAGGGGAGCTCTTATATCGGTTCTGATATGGTCCATCAAAGATGCGCTTGTTTCAGAAATTCTTGTAGGTTTAGTTCTAGATGGTAATAGCAAGTATAATTGCTCATTGTTTGTGAAGTCAGCTACATGAGAGTGAAAGGGTTAGAAAACTTAAGTTTGACCATTCTTTGTCACCCTGTTGACCCTGTTTACCTAGTCACAAGTAGGTACAATACCTGACTCACGAAATCGTAATGACACGATTGCAAACAAACCATACCACGAACGGGGATAGAACCCGTGATCAGAGAGTCTCAAAACTCCAAACCGTCACGTTAGCCACTGGACCAGCTAGCCACAATAAGATTCATCCAACTAGGTATATTTCTACACTATAGGAAGGTTAGCATAGGCACCACTGTGACCACAAATGCAAGTTTTTACGCTAGCTGGAGATTCGTCTGTAAAAACTTGCATTTGTGGTCACAGTGGTGCCTATGCTAACCTTCCTATGGTGTGGAAATATACCTAGTTAGATGAATCTTATTGTGGCTAGCTGGTCCAGTGGCTAACGCGATGGTCTAGAGTTTTATGACTCTCTGAGCGTGGGTTCTATTCCCGCCCGTGGTATGGTTAGGTACAATACCTGGATGTTATTGACTACTGTGGGTCACATCCTGAGGAAGAGGATCAAAGGCCCTTAATGGAAATAAGCCAGATGGAGAGGCTTTCTTGGGTTGCACTGGGTTACTACCCCTATTGTGTAAATAATCCAAATAAAATCTGAAGTCAAAAGAGCATTTATTAAAAGTCACATTCATACTAAGGAAGTACGTATGTAACATATTCATTGATTGATGTTGTGCTTTAAATCATCATTATATAAGTGTAGTGTAAACTCTGCATTGGTGCATCTTTTGCAACCTCTTAAAATATTTTCATCATAGTAGTGTAAAGAGAGACATCAGTTAGCAGTTCCAGGTGAAAATTTATAGAAATGGTAATTTTATTTTAAGAAACTTTCATGCCAGATTTCAGCTATTATAAAGACTGCTGTATAAACACCATGTGAGGTTCCAGGTTGATGCTGTAAAGTTAAACTTTTTTTTTTTTTTTTCTTTCACTTTCAAATGCACATAAAAGCCTAATAACATGTTTACACTATCATATACGAAGTAAGCAACAGAGCTAGGCCTTAAAAATGCATATACAATACACATTACTTACCTTAAAATATTTTAGTACTTAGCTTATAGTGAGTGGTGAATATATGTAGTGTTGATAGTCTGAATAAATGAAGAATGGGTATACAGTGGTACCTCGAGTTATAAACTTAACTCGTTCCAGAAGGCTGAGTGCCGATACTGAACGAATTTGTTCCCATAAGGAATAATGTAAATTAAATTAGTCCATTTCAGACCCACAAAAATACACTTACAAAAGCACTTACAAAAATACACTTACATAATTGTTCGAGTCGGGAGCGGTTCAAAACTCGAGGTACCACTGTAATTGAAAACCACTGTATTAGCGAACTGCTGTAAAGCCCTCCAGTACTGGTTTTTCATAGAACTGTTGGTAAGGGGAATACACAATGCAAGCCACTAGCTGGAGGGTTTAGACTTATGGCAAACCAGTCCTCAAAAAGTCAGACATGAATGGTAACGTGGGAGAGGTGTTATAGAGGACATAGTAGGTACATTTTGAGTGCCATTAATAAATGACATTAGGGGACATCTTAATTCAACTGTGTATAGGAAGAGGTGTAGTAATTGGTAGTCTAAGCAACAAAGATGCTAGCTATGTACCGTCTCCAAAAAGTAAGGAAGTGTGCAGCAACAGCACTTTGCTATAGTGTTTATTGGTGATAATATGTTGATGGGTAGGCTTCTGGATTTTTTTTTTTTTTTAGTAACTGATTTTGGATCAGTATTTAGTGTTAGCTACAATAAGTGTAAGAAGTAGATGGAGCACAAGGAGAATGATGTACAGTACTAGCTTCATTAACTTTCAGTTTGCTTTTACATATTTAAACTGCCTTTGTTGTATCATTACACCAAAACCTGAAATCATTTTACACAGTAACAAGATTGCTGGTGTTTTTTCTTCATTTTATAATATATATAAGATTATAAACATATTTTGCTATTTCTACTTAAATCTAGTTCATACTGCACATGTAGTTGTTCATGTGCATGTGCAGTATGTATCTGAGTTTTCTTCTAACCTCTTAATGTTTCGTATAGTGTTTCCTTTCATCTCCTTGGGGAATTGGGTGAGAATTCATCCTCCATAAGCAGTGTGTGTTGAAAAGGCACCTAAAATGCCAGGAGCAAAGGGCTGGTAACCCCTTTGGTATAAATTACTGAAACGACAAAAGAGAAAACTAAAGGTGGGTTGTTTGAATATGCATGGGTGTAGTATGGATGAGAAGGAAAAAATGATTGTGAATGTTATGATTGAAAAGAGCCTGAATGTTTTAGCTCAAAGTGAAATGAAGATAAAGTGGGCAGGGAATTTAGTAATAAGTGTAAATGAAATTATGTTGTGTATCTGAGAGAATCAGAGCTAAGAGGAGCAGTAATATTTAATGATCAGTTGAGAAAAGAAAAGAGGGAATATAAGTGCAGAAAATAAAGAATTATATGGATTAAGAGCAGCAATTGGTGGAATAATAATACAAAGAGGGTGGTAAGCAAACAAACAAACTATTTTTATGAAGTGGAGTACAGTATGCATACTATAGAGTTTGGGTTATTGACATGCATAACTAACGAAAGCCCCTTGTTATGTGAAGTATTTCAGGCAGAGAAAAAAGTTGGTGTTTAAAAGGTTTTTCTGATGTAGAGGTAATATATTGAGGAAGGTGTATATGGAGAGTTTGTAAAAGTAAGTTAATATACTGAGGGTGGATTATATGGAGAACAATAAGAGAGGTTAAGAGAGTGATGAGGGAGAGCAAATGACAGAGTGGGGAAATGTTTTATCAAATTATGCTGAGAATAAGGAAAAGTTTTGGAGTGAGATCATTAAGTTAAGGAAGCCCAGAGAGCAAATAGATTTAAAGTTAAAAACAAAAGAGAGGAGCCATTACATAAGGAAGTGTTGGTGCTGGGTAGATGGCGGGCATATTTTTGAGGAATTATTGAGTGTTGAAGAGAGGGAGGCAGTGATTTCCTACAGTGGGCAGGGAAGTGTAACAAATGTTAAAAATAGGTGGAGAGAGAGTTTTGGAGTGGTTGGTGCATCTGTTCAGTATATGTATGAAAGGTGAGTGGTGCACTGAGGAGTCTGTGGAGAAAAAGAATGTTACCCATGGAAGCAAAGAGGGGAATGTATGAGTGTATAGTGGCACTAGCATTCTTATCATAGCTTGCAGATTAGGATGAGGCACAGGGTTACTAAAAGTATTGTCCGGAGGACTAAAGAGGGTTTGTTGAGGGAATTTGGTCATTTAGAGAGAATGGAGCAAAATAGTATGACTTGGAGAGTTTATAAATCTGTAGTGGAGGGAAGGCAGGGTAGGGATTATCCTAGTAAAGGATGGGGGGAGCGAGTAAAGGAGGTTTTGTGTGTAGGGGCTTGGGCATACAGCAGGCATGTGTCAGTGTACAGTGGACCCCCGCATAACGGACGCCTTGCATAGCGGACAATCCGCATAGCGGACGCTTTGATCGCTAAAATTTTGCCCCGCATAGTGGACAAAAACCCGCTCAGCGGCCTTCGTCCGAGACGCGTCCAATGTGCGGCCTGAGCCACGCTCACATGTTCCGCGGGTGGCATTGTTTACCAGCCAGCCTCCGCGGTAACATCCAAGCATACAATCGGAACATTTTGTATTATTACAGTGTTTTTGGTGATTTTTTTCTGGAAAATAAGTGACCATGGGCCCCAAGAAAGCTTCTAGTGCCAACCCTACAGCAATAAGGGTGAGAATTACTATGGAGATGAAGAAAAAGATCATTGATAAGTATGAAAGTGGAGTGCATGTCTCCGAGCTGGCCAGGTTGTATAATAAACCCCAATCACCATCGCTACTATTGGTGGTACAGCTGCTGCTGCTGCTGTATCACCGTCAGCTGCTGCTGCACTGTCAGCTGCTGCTGCTGTACCACCGTCAGCTGCTCCTGCTGCTGTAGTACCGTCTGCTGCTGCTGTAGCATCATCTGCTGCTGCTGTAGCATCGTCTGCTGCTGCTGTAGCATCGTCTGTTGCTGCTGTAGCATCGTCTGCTGCTGCTGCTGCTGTAGCATCGTCTGCTGCTGCTGTAACATCGTCTGTTGCTGCTGTAGCATCGTCTGCTGCTGCTGCTGCTGTAGCATCGTCTGCTGCTGCTGCTGCTGTAGCATCGTCTGCTGCTGCTGCTGCTGTAGCATCGTCTGTTGCTGCTGTAGCATCGTCTGCTGCTGCTGTAGCATCGTCAGCTGCTGCTGCTGCTGCTGTAGCACCGTTGTTGGTGTGGCTTATTGAGAATACCAAGAAACAATTAACCCCAGAGGATTTGCCACCCAGGATAGCCCAAAAAAGTCAGTGTCATCAAAGACTGTCTAACTTATTTCCATTGGGTCCTTAATCTTGTCTCCAGGATGCAACCCACACCAGTCGACTAAACCCCAGGTGAACAGGGAAAATGCCTGGAACTAGTGCTCATATTGGTGAATTTAGAGCCAGCAAAGGTTGGTTTGAGAGATTTAAGAATCGTAGTGACATACACAGTGTGATAAGGCCTGTTCTGGAAGAAAATACCAAACAGGACCTACAGTACTCAGGAGGAAAAGGCACTCCCAGGACACAGTGTCTCATCAGTCATTGCTGCATTTTTCAATAAAGGTAAGTGTCATTTATTCTTCATTTAGTAGAGTAGTACATGCACAATATATATTGTGCATGTACTACTCTACTATTGTGCATGTATCCTTCTCTTTGTGTGTAGGAAAATGTATATTTCATGTGGTAAAATTTTTTTTTTCAAACTTTTGGGTGTCTTGCACGGATTAATTTTATTTCCATTATTTCTTATGGGGAAAATTCATTCGCATAGCGAACATTTCACATAACAGCCAGCCCTCTTGCACGGATTAAGGTCGCTATGCGGGGGTCCACTGTATTAGATAGTGAGTAGAGACAAATGGTTTTTGGGGCCTAACGAGCTGTTGGACTGTGAGCAAGGTACTTACTTGTGAAGGGATTCAGGGAAGTGGGAAGTACAATGCCTGCACTCTAAAGGAGGGTTGGGGATATTTTTTGTTTGGAAGGACATCTGAACTGTCATATCGGTGCACCTCTGGCAAAACAATGATAGTTTGAAGATGTTGACAGTGTTTCTTTTTCGGGTCACCCTGCCTCGGTGGGAGACGGCCAATGTGTTAAAAAAAATACATTTAATTAATTATGTATCTGTTTTACAACATACTGTATACAGTACATTTTCTTAAATACTGTTGGTTTAATCTATTAATTGTGTTTTTATTCCAGATATGTTGTAGATGTTGGCTGATTTGTTAGGCTTTATAATACAATAGTTCATCATGTCTGAAGAACAGAGAGGCAACGACAACAGTTCTAATACAAAGCCAGCCAGTCATACTTTAGTAAGTTTAATATGTATATAAAGTTTTTCCACTATTCTCAAACATATTACTTGTATTGATATTACAACATACTGTATCATTTATTTTTGTAATGATTTCCTGAAATACTTTATTATATTTTGTTAAAAATAAAGGAAATATATTCATATTTTCCAAGAAGTAAGACAGATATATATTTTTTTCAGAAACCTAACTACATGCTGAAATACACACTCTCTGGGCACTCAAAGGCAGTTTCATCAGTAAAATTCAGTCCGACGGGAGACTGGCTAGCAAGCTCTTGTAAGTTGCTCTTTAATACACACCAACTGTGATGCAATTTAAACATTGATAAGCAGATGCAATATTGCAGTCTCAGAAGTTTTCACAAATCTAACTTTTCAGTAAACATACATTTACTTAGTGGAATCTGAAGTTTCACACTATTCAGAAAATACAAATTATGAGGAGAGGCAGTGTGGGAGTGAAGTTTGAACACTGACTATTGAACCAGAAGATACTTAGTGCTGGCACAGTACTTATGGATTCAAACCCACACTACCAGACTCTCAGTTACTTATATGTTTTAAGTAAGCTCTCTTATAAAGCTGCTCTATTTGTGAATATAATTATAATGTTCATCCAGACATGAATAATGCATACTATGAAGACTTTTCCACATGCCATTCAATTTTGGATGTACTTTTTTGGTCACAATTACAAAAAACTATATAATGTAGAGGATTGCTGGTGTCCATTTTTCTGTCTCATAAATGTGCAAGGTTTCAGGTATGTCTCGCTACTTCTACTTACACTTAGGTCACACTACACATACATGTACAAGCATATATATATACACACCCCTCTGGGTTTTCTTCTATTTTCTTTCTAGTTCTTATTCTTGTTTATTTCCTCTTATCTCCATGGGGAAGTGGAATAGAATTCTTCCTCCGTAAGCCATGCGTGTTGTAAGAGGCGACTAAAATGCCGGGAGCAAGGGGCTAGTAACCTCTTCTTCTGTATATATTACTAAATGTAAAAGGAGAAACTTTCGTTTTTCCTTTTGGGCCACCCTGCCTTGGTGGGATACGGCCGGTGTGTTGAAAGAAAGAAAGATATAATGTAGAGGCGTGTTGTATTAAGAAAACTCATTTTATGCTGTATAATTCTTGTTCTTTTTTCCAGCTGCTGACAAAGTTATTAAGATATGGGGTGCCTATGATGGTAAATTTGAGAAAACATTATCGGGGCATAAACTGGGTATTAGTGATGTTGCCTGGTCACACGACAGCAGACTCCTCGTGTCTGCATCAGATGACAAGACACTCAAAATATGGGAACTTACCTCAGTAAGTGTTAAAGGTTTTAAGCTTTATTTTAGTTGTACTTGTCGTTGGTGTAGGTTCGAGGTAGATTGATACATGCAGATGTTCTCCAGGCTCCTCTGACTGTAACATTTATATACGTGTATATTGCTATAGCTACAATTTACATTTCATAGGAGTCTGTTGCTTTCTAGAGAAATAAATGCTTGTATCTATGTGGTTCTGGGTTACCTATGGAAGTGCTAATTAAGGTTTAACCTACACTCAAACTAATTGCACCTGGTGCTCTGTTATTCTGTGTATTCTTCCCTCTTGCAAAGCCATAATATTAGTTTATTTTTCATTGCTTGTACTGTACCTTTCTCTGTACCTATTTTTATATTCTTGAGTTTCCATTTGTACGTACAGTGGACCCTCGGTTATCAGCCACAATCCGTTCCAGAAGGGTGGCCAAAAACCTAAATAATATTACCCATAAGAATTAATGTAAATCCAATTAATTCGTTTCAAACATCCAAAAATATTAGCAAAAATTACATTTTTTAAAGATTGACAATAGTTTTACATACAGAATACAGTGAGTACATTCATTACTTACCTTAAAATATTTGTAGTCTTAATTAGGGCGAGAGGTGAATAGTATTTATTTGTAGGAAGTCAATGTAGGCAGCGGTAGATATAGGTACAGTACACGTATGTAGCCCCCCCCCCCTGGGTTACACAATACAGCCATATTATTACCATGTTCACTGTGTTTAATTGTTTCTAATAACTACCTTTAGATGCCATCATAAACAAAGGGAAAAGTAATGAATAATTCATGCTGAGAATTGTAAACAAACGCATATGATTGGCGGTTACTGGGCGAGACACCAGATTCGCAGTTTTCTCTGACGCTGAATCAGAGAAAATGTAATGTTTACTCTCCACCTGACACTCCACTCAATAGCATATAAACATTGCTTGTTTATATGCTATGTAATGTGTTTCTTATATAATTTTGAAGAAAATATCATATATGGATTAATGAAAATGTCTGTATTAACCTAAAATAAGACATTTAATGTGCCCTTTCAGGCTCGAGAGGCCCTCTCCTAAACTTGTTCTCAGGGTCGAAAATTTTTTGAAAAAAAAAAATATTTTCTCTTATGAAATGATAGAGAATCTTTTCCCGATCATAATGACACCAAAAGTATGATATTTGATGGAAAACTTACGGAATTATGCTCTCCCGAATTTAGCCGTCTCAACGATATTTATGCATTGGCGATTTTGCCCACTTTGAGCCCTATTTTCAACCAATTCCTGTGTACTAGTCGATAAAAATCATATTTATTTTGCTAGAACTCGATTTTTTCTCTCGTATGAGTACGAGAAACCACCCATTTACCAATTTCAACTGTCCAATAAAGTTCTTAGAATTTGGCAATTTTGCCAATTTCACATATTTCAGACAATGCCAATTTCCAAATAGGGTCCAGAATAAACAAGACAGACATTCCTGGCACTAAAATAACAAGCTCTCTGTTCATTAGTCACGTCCCCAGGCCCCTCTTACATTTCTTTTGCTTTCCACTTTGAATTTTTATTCTCACAAAAAATAGAAGATTTATGTTATGCAGACTACTGCATTAGTGTAGAAATGGTATAAATAATATCAGCGCACTTGCGAAAGAATATTAGACTCACCAGTTGACGTGTATTGGACACTTGGCATGATTTGTTTACTTTTGAACTTTGGTAAAAATTGAACATTCCTATACTTTGAGCTCAATTTCAAGGTACTTTTCATTGTGAAACCAATCAAAATCATCTCAATTTCTGTAATATATCTTCCATTCTATAAAATGAGACCAGGAAAACTAGAATACAACCATAAATACCATTCGAAAATACAGTGCAAAGTGGCTGTTTTAATCCAAAAACATGGTCAAAGTTTTTTTTTTCTCATTATGCACTGTGTGCTGCAGGATTTTTTTTATACTGTACACACTGACCACATAGACCCATTCTTTCATATGTAGGCCTACCAACTTTCTCTCGCTAGATTTGAAGGCGCTAGAATTTAGGCGTTCTAGTATGTCAATAACTCTGGTGCGTACGCCGTACTAGTACGTTGGAAACCCTGAAAGGGTTAAACATACTTTTTTATTTTTTTTTTATTAACACATCGACTGATTCCCACCAAGGCAGGGTGGCCCAAAAAAGAAAAACTTTCATCATCATTCACTCCATCACTGTCCTGCCAAAGGGGTGCTTTACACTACAGTTATAAAACTGCAACATAAACACCCCTCCTTCCGAGTGTAGATGGTGTACTTCCCATCTCCAGGGCTCGAGTCCAGCCTGCCGGTTTCCCTGAATCCCTTCATAAATGTTACTTTGCTCACACTCCAACAACACGTCAATTATTAAAAACCATTGTCTCCATTCACTCCTATCAAATACGCTCACGCACGCTTGCTACCCCCTCCCTCCAACCCTTCCTAGGCCGACCCCTACCCCGCCTTCCCTCCACTACAGATTTATACACACTCAAAGTCATTCTATTGTGTTCCATTCTCTCTACATGTCCGAACCACCTCAACAACCTCTCCTCAGCCACCTGGATAATAGTTTTGGTAATCCCACACCTCCTGATTTCCAAACTACGAATTCCCTGCATTATATTCACACCACACATTGCCCTCAGACATGACATCTCCACTGCCTTCAGCCTTCTCATTGCAACATTCATCACCTATGCTTTACACCCATACAAGAGTGTTGGTACAACTATACTCTCATACATTCCCCTCTGCTTTCACGGACAAAGTTCTTTGTCTCCACAGACTCCTAAGTGCACCACTTACCCTTTTCCCCTCATCAGTCCTGTGATTCGCCTCATCCTTCATAGACTCATCTGCTGACACGTCCACTCCTAAATATCTGAGTACATTCACCTCCTCCATACTCTCCCTCCAATCTGATATCCAATCTTTCGTCATGAAATCTTTTATCCTCATAACCTTACTCTTTCCTATATTCACTTTTAATTTTCTTCTTTTACATACCCTATCAAATTCATCCACCAACCTCTGCAACTTCTCTTCAGAATCTCCCAAAAGCACAGTGTCATCAGCAAAAAGCAACTGTGACAACTCCCACTTTACATTTGATTCTTTATCTCTTAGCTCCACGCCTCTTGCCAAGACCGTCGCACTCACTTCTCTTACAACCCCATCTATAAACATATTGAACAGCCACGGTGACATCACACATCCTTGTCTAAGGCCTACTCTTACTGGGAAATAATCTCCCTCTCTCCTACATACTCTAACCTGAGCTTCACTATCCTCATAGCAACTCCTCACTGCTTTCAGTAACCTACCTTCTGTACCATACACCTACAACATCTGCCACATTGCCCCCCCCTGTCCACCCTGTCATATGCCTTTTTCAAATCCATAAAAGCCACAAAAATCCTCTTTACACTTATCTAAATACTGTTCACTTATATGTTTCACTGTAAACACTTGGTCTACACACCCCCTACCTTTCCGAAAGCCTCCTTGTTCATCTGCTATCCTACTCTCCGTATTACTCTTAATTCTTTCAATAATAAGTCTTCCATACACTTTACCAGGTAAACTCAACAGACTTTTTTTTTTTTTTTTTTCAACAAGTCGGTCGTCTCCCACCGAGGCAGGGTGACTCTACAGACTTATTCCTATATAATTTCTGCACTCTCTTTTATCCCCTTTGCCTTTATACAAAGAAACTATGCATGCTCTCTGCCAATCCCTAGCTACCTTACCTTCTTCCATACATTTATTAAATAATAGCACCAGCCACTCTAAAACTATATCCCCTCCTGCTTTTAACATTTCTATCTTTATCCCATCAGTCCCAGCTGCCTTACCCCCTTTCATTCTGCCCACTACCTCTTGAACTTCTCCCACACTCACAACTGGCTCTTCCTCACTCCTACAAGATGTTATTCCTCCTTGCCCTATACACGAAATCACAGCTTCCCTATCTTCATCAACATTTAACAATTCCTCAAAATATTCCCTCCATCTTCCCGATACCTCTCTCTATTTAATAGCTCCTCTCCTATTTTTAATTGTCAAATTCATTTGTTCCCTAGGCTTCCTCAACTTAATAATCTCACTCCAAAACTTTTCTTACTTTCAACAAAATTTGTTGATAAAATATCACCCACTCTCTCATTTGTTCCCTTTTTACATTGCTTCACCACTCTCTTAACCTCTCTTTTTATCTCCATATACTCCTCCCTCCTTGCATCACTTCTACTTTGTAAAAACCTCTCATGCTAACTTTTTCTCCCTTATTACCCTCTTTACATCAATCCACCAATCGCTCTTCTTCCCTCCCACACCCACTTTCCTGTAAGCACAAACTTCTGCTGAACACTCTAACTTTACATTCTTAAACCTACCCCATACATCTTTGACCTCATTGCCTATACTCTCACTAGCCCATCTATCCTCCAATAGTTGTTTATATCTTACCCTAACTGCCTCCTCTTTTAGTTTATAAACCTTCACCTCTCTCTTACTTGCTGCTTCTATTTACCTTGTATCCCATCTACCTTTTACTCTCACTGTAGCTACAACTAGAATGTGATCTGATATATCTGTAAAGACACCAAAAGTATGAAATTTTGTGGAAATCTTGTGGAATTACACAGGTGCAAATGTAGCGGTCTTGGTGCAATTTACGCATCCATGATTTTGCCGACTTTTGAGTCCTATTTTAAGTCAATTCCACTGTTTGATTCTACCAAATTCTTAGTTATTTCACTAGTATGCCTTCTGTTCTATCAGCTGAGCATAAGAAACCACCCATTCAACTACTGTATTTCAACTGTACTCTAGAAAATGCACAGAAGTTAGTAATTTGGCTAGTTTTACACAAAATTAAAAGGTTACCAATTTAAAACTAGAGTTCAAAATAAACAGTGTAAGCATTCCTGGCACTAAAACATTTCCTCTCTTCATCAATTATGTCACCTGACCTCTTACATTATACCTACCTTCCATTTTGAATTCACAATCACAAACTATTTCTCGGATAATAAAATATAACCAGGAATAATTGCTCATGGTTTACGGTGTCCTGACAGTTGATTCAGACCCATAAAACAGATTGGGGGTGTAGAGGGACCTTACCCATCCTCTGGAAAATTGGAAAAAAACATTAATGGTTCTGCTAATTTGAGCTCATATTTAAGCTACTTTCAGACCTGAAATTAATCAACATTATATCAGTTTCAGTAGTATGTATTCCATTCTATCAGATGATACCTATGAACTGCCAGTAAGGATGTGAAAACCATCCAAGAAAACACCCCAAAGTTGCTATTTTAAACCATTCTCACAATCTGAGTTTTACTTTTCCCGTCATGCACCACGTATAGAAGGTTTTTTTTTTATACTGTACACACTTGCTGCACAAACCCATCCTCTCATATTTAGGCCAGAATTTACCACTCACAACTTGTCTGAGTGAGCTGAGCTCATCACAGAACTACGTCAGTGACCCTGACCTCAGTGACGTACTTCTAAGTGATGGCCACTGAAAGTCTTTGTTAATAATGCACTTTCACAAATAATAATTCTTTAACTACTTATGAGAGTTTCCCAAATTAACTCTTCAGTTTTTATTTGTTAGCTTATCCATATCAGGTCACATTGTGTATAAACACAATAGACAGGTGTATCTCACTTAAATACACTCAGGAAGCTGCTACACTAAAGGCTTCCTGTATTTTTATAACAAAAAATACTTATCTTTCTTTTCAGGGCAAATGTGTCAAAACTCTTAAAGGACATAGCAACTATGTGTTTTGTTGCAATTTCAACCCACAATCTAACCTGATTGTTTCAGGCTCTGTAAGTTATGCAGTATATAGAGTATGTACATGTATATATCTAACATGTAATGTGTTTATACATTTTTATATAAAGCAAAAAAAAAAATAGAAAATTTATATTTGAAATACAACTATGTTTCTAGGTACATTTTAAGAAAATTCTACGTGCCTTCTTTACTAACAGTTTGACGAAAGTGTGCGCATATGGGATGTTAAAACTGGGAAATGTCTAAAGACTTTACCGGCTCACTCGGATCCAGTCAGTGCTGTCAACTTTAACCGAGACGGAACCCTTATTGTGTCAAGCAGCTACGATGGCCTTTGGTAACAAATGCTGAGCACTTACAATTTAAACACTGCTTTTAATTTCTATTGAGCTTTTTATTGTAAATTTTACACATTTTTTTCACATTCCAAATATTGTTTTGTGTTGTATATCAGAGGTCTCGTGTAACTGTTGTACATACAGGAGAAATTCATGTTACCATGTGGAGTGGGGGATGAATGGTTTTTATGACTTGGCATGCTGTTGGAGTGTGAGCAGAGTAACATTTATGAAGTGATTCAAGGAAACCAGTTAGCCGGACTTGAATTCTGGAGGTGGAAAGTACGGTGCCTGCACTCTGAAGGAGGGGTGTTGATATGTTGCAGTTTTTTAACTGTAGTGTAAGCACACCTCTGGCAAAACTGATGGAGTGAATGATGATGAAAGTGTTTCTCCTTTTTTTTGGCCACCCTGCCTTGGTATGAAATTGCCGATGTGTTAATTAAAAAAATCATCATCTTTCAACAAACCAACCATATCCCACCAAGGCAGGGTGGCCCATAAGGAAAAACAAAGTTTCTCTTTTTAAATTTAGTAATATATACAGGAGAAGGGGTTACTAGCCCCTTGCTCCTGGCATTTTAGTCGCCTCTTACGACACGTATGGCTTATGGAGAAAGAATTCTGTTCCACTTCCCCATGGAGATAAGAGGAAATAAACAGGAACTAGCAAGAAAATAGAAGAAAACCCAGAAGAGTGCATATATATATGTTTGTACATGCAAGTGTAGTGTGGCCTAAGTGTAAGTAGAAGTAGCAAAACATACCTGAAATCTTGCATGTTTGAGACAGAAAAGACACCAGCAATCCTACCCTCATGTAAAACAATTACAGGCTTCTGTTTTACACTCATTTGGCAAGACAGTAGTACCTCCCTGGGCAGTTGCTGTCTAACAACCTACTACCTAGGAATAAACAAAAAATATTCAGAAGTATTCTTGCACTGACGTATTCTTTTGTGCTTTGGACTGTAATCGATCCCTCATTTCTCAAGAAGATGGAATGTCTTGAGGCAACCCTGTCTTATCTTGCTCTTACATTACTATACATACTCTACCTACCATTTCTAGGTGTTTGATTGCCGTACCACACAAGCTACTTTTACTTGTGTCAGTATTCCTTGAAGTCTTCTTACCTCACATTTTTCTGTCTTTATTGCTTACTCCATCCCATCTTCTACAGTCAGGTGTGTAGTAGATGGGATGTTGAAATATACTAGCACCAGTTCTTCAGGGTTGAGAGTGGAACCCTTACAACTCAGATTCCATCATTAATAAAATGAAAAACCTCTAAGGTGTGCTATAGTGTTAGATAGGAGTGAGTGGAGGCAAGTGGTTTTTATGACTTGGCGTGCTGTTGGAATGTGAACAAGGTAACCCATGAAGGGATTCAGGGAAACTGGTTAGCCTGACTTGAATCCTGGAGATGGGAAGTGCTCTGAAGGAGAGGGTGGAAATACTTGCAGGTTTCAACTGTAGTATCGGCACCCCTCTGGCAAGACATTGACGGAGTGAATGATAGTGAAAGTGTTTCCTTTTTTTTAGGCCACCTTGCCTAACTGCTGGTTTGTTGAAAAAAAAATACATAACACACTAGAAATACACACTGCGTTAACATACCATCATAGGAGGCGCAGGAACTTGTGATCACAGTAAACCCTCAATATAAATTGGAATAATGTTAAAAATAGTCAAAAAATACTATGGTTCTCTAGTGTGTGCCTAATACAGTATTGTACATATAACTTGCATATATGTATACTGCAATAAAATATAATGCCTGACAAAAAGGTATAATTTACCCAGTGGATTTTGCCTGTTATTTCAATAGTTTATCATATTGAGGTTCATTAAAGCAAGGTTTACTGTAGAGTGTAATACATCTAAATCTTACACTGGTCGATGCTACGTTACAATGAAAAGGCATAGTAATTTGTCTTTTAAATATTTTGACTGAAGTGTTTTATGTAATTTAGCCCCTTCACAGGCAGAAACCCTAAAATTAAAAGTGCTGACAGTGTAGGTAATTTTAAAAATAAAAAATTTGTGAAATGGTAGAAAATCTTTTTCTTATTGTAATGACACCAAAATGATGAAATTTGATGTAAAATTTTCAGAATTGTGCAGGCACAAAGTCGGTGGTGTAAGTGGAGTTTACGTATCAGCAATTACATCCAATTTGAGTCCTATTTTAACTCAATCTCTATTTGATCATATTCTGAGCAATTTTGATAATATGCCTTTTGTTCTATTGAGTAACCCTTAAACTGTCCAAGCGTAGGTCTACGTTCACTCGCGTAGCGCTCCAGACGTAGATCTACTTTTTTTTTTTTTACATGCTTTCTTGTGGAGAAAATCAAGGTCGGAGCACTACACGTGCAAACGTAGATCTACGTTTGGACAGTTAAAGGGTTAAAGACAGTCCAAAACAGACACTATGCATTCCAGCCACTAAAGCAACATTTGCTCTATTCATTAATCACATCCCCAGGCATCCATTGTGAATTCATTATCTCACAAAAACTGATTAAAATATAACCAGGAATTATTGAAGCACAGTAAACTTGCACACAACATGGTGGAGGGGTTTGGGGAGCTTTACCTGTCTGCAGGAAAATTGTTAAAAATAAAACGCTTCTGTTAGTTTGAGCCTGAATTCTAGCTGCTGCTGCACCTGAAACCAACCAAAATCATTTCACTTCCATTCTGCAGTTGATATCAATAAGCAGTAATACCATAACCACCTTAGAAAATACCTCAAGTTTGCTATTTTTAGCAAAATATGATGGTTTGGAGGGATATGTTGTGTATCTTTATACGTATATGCTTCTAAGCTATTGTGTTCTGAGCACCTCTGCAAAAACAGTGATTATGTGTGAGTGAGGTGAAAGAGTTGAATGATGATGAAAGTATTTTCTTTTGGGGGATTTTCTTTCTTTTTGGGTCACCCTGCCTCGGTGGGAGACGGCCAACTTGTTAAAAAAAAAAATGAGGTCATAGGTTGGCTTTTCCTCTCATGCACTGAGGCATGTTTTTTTTTTTTGTTGTTTTTTTATACTGTGCACACACTGCACATATCCATTCTCTCATGTCTAGGGCAAAATTTACCACTCAGCATATTAGAGGGTGCTGTTCTTAAAAAAGTTCTATGTGAGTGTTACTGGCATCAATAACTTAAATCTACATAAGAGACAGTGAAAGGGATGAAAGAATTTCTGAGACTTGCATGTTAAAGCACGGGACTTTTTAAAATATGTTACAGCAGTGGCATGGTATCATATGCTACACAACTTATTTTCACAGTGCATCATTTGTGTGCATACAGTGAATGATGGGTAACACTCTCCTAGTAAAACATGTAAGGAATAACAACTAGGACCTGTCATGCCACCTCCAGCTTCCTTATCATTCCAACAGTTGTTCCTTTTTTTCCACTGGTGCTCACCCTCCTAAACCCAAAAACTTCTGTTGCACACTCAATCACTGTACTACCACACCTCTTAAAGCCACTCCTCATTACTTGTACTCACTGTCTAGGCCACATTTCTCCCAGTAGTAATATATTTGCCACTTACTATAAGCTAAGAATAAAAATAAAATGAGGTAGATAATGTGTGTGCTGTTTATGCATTTTTTGGGCTTAGCTCTATTGATTGTATTTATTTATTTATTAATTTGAATATGATACAGTGAAGTACAAAAGAATACAGTTAAATGCAGCATGCTAAAGCCACTTGAATGCAGAGCATTACGGGCTGGCTTAAAATTAACTTAAGATTAACTAAGCAATGAAGTATTCAGTGGTAAAACATTATTGTAAACTAGATAACAAGCACAAATGAGTATTACAAAAACAGGTCGTATGGTTGTATGCATTGCTGTACAAACAGTATTTATTTATTTATTTATTTATTTATTTATTTATTTATTTAATTAATTTGAACTTGATACAGAGAAGTACAAGGAATACAATTTTTAAAATGCAGCATGCCAAAGCCCCTTGTATGCAGAGCATTATGGGCAGGCTTAAAATTAACTTAAGATTAACTAAGCAATGATATATTCAGTGGTACAAAAATTATTGTAAAACAGATAACAATCTAGTACAAATGAGTATTACAAAGACAGGTAATATGGTCATTTACTGTGTTGCTGTGTAATCAGTAGAATGGAGTATTATGTTAGGTAATGAAATTAAATAGTAACAAAGTTTGATTGGGTCACAGGTTGACATTTATGAGATACAATAATGAGATACATATGTGAGATACAATTATTCAGTATTTATTTAGTTGTGGGTGAGTAAGTGATTTTTGAGAAGAGACTTGAATTTATAAACAGACAGTGTTTCTTTTATATTCACAGGTAATGAATTCCAGATTTTAGGGCCTTTTATGTGCATTGAGTTTTTGCATAGCATGAGATGGACACTAAGAACATCAAAGAGTGATGTGTGTCTTGTGTTATGGTCATGTGTTCTGTTGAGGTTGGTAAGGAGAAGTTTGAGGGGAGGGTTTATGTCAGAGTTAAGTGTTCTATGTATGTAGTAGGTGCAGTAATAAGTATGGATGTTTTGTATTGTGAGTAGGTTTAGAGTTTTGAATATTGGTGGAGTGTGCTGTCTGTAGTGGGAATTTGTTATCATTCTGACTGCAGCCTTTTGTTGGGTGATTAGTGGTCTGAGATGGTTTATTGTTGTTGAGCCCCATGCACAAATTCCATAGGTGAGATAGGGGTAAATAAGTGAGTGATATAGGGCCAGGAGGGCTGACTGTGGAACATAGTACCGTATCGTCGATAGTGTGCCTACGGTCTTGGAAATTTTGGGGGGAATTTTTTGTATATTTTTTTTGAAATTTGAGTCTATTATCAAGGTGGATTCCTGGGAATTTTCCCTCTGTGAGTTTTGTGATAGGTGATTCATTTATCATTATGTTAAGAGACACATAATATATGATAGTGTAATCATGTTATCAGGTTTTTAGATGCATTTGAAAGTGAATAAAGGCTGTTTCACTTTACAGCAGTAGCCCGTAACCTAACCTGCTAAATAAGTGAGGCCCTCTTCTGTCTAACCCTAACCATTTCTCTATTAACTTTCAGTTTACTCTTGGCTGAATGATGTCATTATCCTCATTATTAACATAGAAATTCTTGTGGTATTTCAAAAAACTCTACAATGTTTTTAATGCCAGTTTGTCTAACTTACTTTTTTGTTTTTTAACATGACCACCGTTGCCCACCATTGGTCTTGAATGGTTTTCATATTATGCTACAAAAAGATACCTCATATCCTCTCAAAAAACTAATGTTGTCAGTTACAGTTCTTCCATGGAATTTTATTATTCAACTAATAACAAAATTATTACATTGGAGCTTGATTAAGTACAGCAATAAAATAGTATATTATAAGTGATGTGTGATTTGAATTATACTGCTTTTAATTTGTAATGTATAACAAAGTTATTATAGGTAGTAGGTTGGTAGACAGCAACGACCCAGGGAAGTACTACCGTCCTGCCAGATGACTGTGAAACAGAAACCTGTAACTGTTTTACACGATGGTAGGATTGCTGGTCTGTTTTTCTGTCCCATAAACACGCTAGATAACAGGGATATCTTGCTACTCCTACTTACACTTTGGTCACACTTCACAGACACGCACATGCATATATATATATACATACATCTAGATTTTTCTAATTTTTCTAAATAGCTCTTGTTCTTCTTTATTTCTTCTGTTGTCCATGGGGAAGTGGAAAAGAATCTTTCCTCCGTAAGCCATGTGTGTCGTATGAGGCGACTAAAATGCCGGGAGAAATGGGCTAGTAACCCCTTCTCCTGTAACATTTACTAAAAAAGAGAAGAAGAGAAACTTGATAAAACTGGGATGCTTAAATGTGCGTGGATGTAGTGCAGATGACAAGAAACAGATGATTGCTGATGTTATGAATGAAAAGAATTTGGATGTCCTGGCCCTAAGCGAAACAAAGCTGAAAGGGGTAGGGGAGTTTCGGTGGGGGGAAATAAATGGGATTAAATCTGGAGCATCTGAGAGAGTTAGGGCTAAGGAAGGGGTAGCAATAATGTTGAAGGATCAGTTATGGAAGGAGAAAAGAGAATATGAATGTGTAAATTCAAGGATTATATGGATTAAAGGTTGTATGCGAAAAGTGGGTCATAATAAGCGTGTATGCACCTGGAGAAGAGAGGAATGTAGAGGAGAGAGAGAGATTTTGGGAGATCTTAAGTGAAAGTATAGGAGCCTTTGAACCAAGTAAGAGTAATTGTGGTAGGGGACCTAAATGCTAAAGTAGGAGAAACTTTCAGAGAGGGTGTAGTAGGTAAGTTTGGGGTGCCAGGTGTAAATGATAATGGGAGCCCTTTGATTGAACTTTGTATAGAAAGGGGTTTAGTTATAGGTAATACATATTTTAAGAAAAAGAGGATGAATAAGTATACAAGATATGATGTAGGGCAAAATGACAGTAGTTTGTTGGATTATGTAGTGGTAGATAAGACTGTTGAGTAGACTTCAGGATGTACATGTTTATAGAGGGGGGCACAGATATATCAGATCACTTTTTAGTTGTAGCTACAGTGAGAGTTAAAGGTAGATGGGATACAAGGAGAATAGAAGCATCAAGGAAGAGAGAGGTGAAGGTTTATAAACTAAAAGAGGAGGCAGTTAGGGTAAGATATAAACAGCTATTGGAGGATAGATGGGCTAACGAGAGCATAGGCAATGGGGTCGAAGAGGTATGGGGTAGGTTTAAAAATGTAGTGTTAGAGTGTTCAGCAGAAGTTTGTGGCTACAGGAAAGTGGGTGTGGGAGGGAAGAGGAGCGATTGGTGGAATGATGATGTAAAGAGAGTAGTAAGGGAGAAAAAGTTAGCATATGAGAAGTTTTTACAAAGTAGAAGTGATGCAAGGAGGGAAGAGTATATAGAGAAAAAGAGAGAGGTTAAGAGAGTGGTGAAGCAATGTAAAAAGAGAACAATTGAGAGAGTGGGTGAGATGTTATCAACAAATTTTGTTGAAAATAAGAAAAAGTTTTGGAGTGAGATTAACAAGTTAAGGAAGCCTAGAGAACAAATGGATTTGTCATTTAAAAATAGGAGAGGAGAGTTATTAAATGGAGAGTTAGAGGTATTGGGAAGATGGAGGGAATATTTTGAGGAATTGTTAAATGTTGATGAAGATAGGGAAGCTGTGATTTCATGCATAGGGCAAGGAGGAATAACATCTTGTAGGAGTGAGGAAGAGCCAGTTGTGGGTGTGGGGAAAGTTCGTAAGGCAGTAGGTAAAATGAAAGGGGGTAAGGCAGCTGGGATTGATGGGATAAAGATAGAAATGTTAAAAGCAGGTGGGGATATAGTTTTGGAGTGGTTGGTGCTATTATTTAATAAATGTATGGAAGAGGGTAAAGTACCTAGGGATTGACAGAGAGCATGCATAGTTCCTTTGTATAAAGGCAAAGGGGACAAATGAAAGTGCAAAAATTATAGGGGGATAAGTCTGTTGAGTATACCTGGTAAAGTGTATGGTAGAGTTATTATTGAAAGAATTAAGAGTAAGACGGAGAATAGGATAGCAGATGAACAAGGAGGCTTTAGGAAAGGTAGGGGGTGTGTGGACCAGGTGTTTACAGTGAAACATATAAGTGAACAGTATATAGATAAGGCTAAAGAGGTTTTTGTGGCATTTATGGATTTGGAAAAGGCGTATGACAGGGTGGATAAGAGGGCAATGTGGCAGATGTTGCAGGTGTATGGTATAGGAGGTAGGTTACTGAAAGCAGTGAAGAGTTCTTACGAGGATAGTGAGGCTCAAGTTAGAGTATGTAGGAAAGAGGGAGATTATTTCCCAGTAAAAGTAGGCCTTAGACAAGGATGTGTGATGTCACCGTGGTTTAATATATTTATAGATGGGGTTGTAAGAGAAGTAAATGCGAGGGTCTTGGCAAGAGGCGTGGAGTTAAAAGATAAAGAATCACACATAAAGTGGGAGTTGTCACAGTTGCTCTTTGCTGATGACACTGTGCTCTTGGGAGATTCTGAAGAGAAGTTGCAGAAGTTGGTGGATGAATTTGGTAGGGTATGTAAAAGAAGAAAATTAAAAGTTAATACAGGAAAGAGTAAGGTTATGAGGATAACAAAAAGATTAGGCAATGAAAGATTGGATATCAGATTGGAGGGAGAGAGTATGGAGGAGGTGAATGTATTCAGGTATTTGGGAGTGGACGTGTCAGTGGATGGGTCTATGAAAGGTGATGTGAATCATAGAATTGATGAGGGTAAAAGGGTGAGCGGTGCACTTAGGAGTCTGTGGAGACAAAGAACTTTGTTCTTGGAGGCAAAGAGGAGAATGTATGAGAGTATAGTTTTACCAACACTCTTATATGGGTGTGAATCATGGGTGATGAGTGTTGCAGCGAGGAGAAGGCTGGAGGCAGTGGAGATGTCATGTCTGAGGGCAATGTGTAGTGTGAAGAAAATGCAGAGAATTCGTAGTTTTGAAGTTAGGAGGAGGTGCGGGATTGCCAAAACTGTTGTCCAGAGGGCTGAGGAAGGGTTGTTGAGGTGGTTCGGACATGTAGAGAGAATGTAGCGAAATAGAATGACTTCAAGAGTGTATCAGTCTGTAGTGGAAGGAAGGCGGGGTAGGGGTCAGCCTAGGAAAGGTTGGAGGGAAGGGGTAAAGGAGGTTTTGTGTGCGAGGGGCTTGGACTTCCAGCGGGCATGCGTGAGCGTGTTTGATAGGAGTGAATGGAAACAAATGATTTTTAATACTTGATGTGCTGTTGGAGTGTGAGCAAAGTAACATTTATGAAGGGATTCAGGGAAACCAGCAGGCCGGACTTGAGTCCTGGAGATAGGAAGTACAGTGCCTGCATTCTGAAGGAGGGGTGTTAATTTTGCAGTTTAAAAATTGTAGTGTAAAGCACCCTTCTGGCAAGACAGTGATGGAGTGAATGATGGTGAAAGTTTTTCTTTTTCGGGCCACCCTGCCTTGGTGGGAATCGGCCAGTGTGCTAATAAAAAATAAAAAAAAAAGTTATATGAAGGTTTAGTTAGTAAATATCATTACCTGGCCCTATGCCAGGCTAGAAAAATTCTAAACCAGTCACAGTTATGATGAAGAACCACACACACACATTAGCTGATTATTGATACATCTTTCACTGAAGGGTGTCATCTTGTACTTTGAGAAATAGCAGTAATAATAAGTACTAAGTTTTGCAGTGATGTTTTCTAATTGTTACCAGTGATGATTACTAAATATTAGTAGTGATAAGTACCAATTATTGGCAGTGATATGCTTTAATGACTAGCAGTAATAAATACTACTACTACTAGCAGTATTGATACTAATTGTTGTTATTTTTTTCAGTCGAATCTGGGACACGACTTCTGGGCAGTGTCTCAAAACACTGATCGATGATGATAATCCTCCAGTTTCCTTCGTTAAGTTCTCTCCTAATGGGAAATACATTTTAGCTGCCACACTTGACAACACCTTAAAGCTGTGGGATTACAGTAAAGGAAAATGCCTTAAGACATATACAGGCCACAAAAATGAAAAATATTGCATCTTTGCTAATTTTTCGGTAACTGGTGGTAAGGTAAGTGTTTTTATTTATCTAGTTGTATTTGTTCGGTGTATAACTTTTAGTAGAGAAGACCAGTCATGCTAACAAACAATGAGTGTTACCAGTTCTTATACATAATCAGTTCAAATTATGTTCATTACCTATCTGAATTTGATGGTTGAGTTCCAGCTGCTGGTCCCAACTGTTCTGAGCACCGGTGATGCAGTGGAGCCCTGTCACATCTATTTTTGAACTTCTGTGTGAAGTTCGCCTCAGTTGTCACTGTTCACCTCATCCCACTTCCATACCAGAGACCCCCATGGGTTATTCAGTCTTGTTGTATTCCTGGTAAAGCACCTATCCTTGTCTTCCCTGTCTGTATCCCATATTAATTTGTATGTTTGTACACAGGTTGCCATGCTTCAACACTTATATCTTTTAATACTATATTTCACACTATAATGTATTAATACTTATTACAGTAAAATGCTTGGTCAAAGAGAAAGAAATCTGATACTGAGATAACTGGGTAATGTGGAAGATAATTGAGATAGGGGGTTACAATTAGTGGACAAAACTAAATATTCACAAGCAGTATAAAATAAAGTCTTCAGTACATCACTCTCAGAAGACCTCACACAGAGCCTCAGCTCTGTCCCTAATAGAGGCTGGTCAAGTCCTCACTCAGATTTCTCAGCTATATGCCCAACCAAAACTCCTTACCAAGTCTCCCTCTTGACTGTTTTCCCTGAGCTTATAAAGGCCTACACCCCCCCCTCCTCCCCATAACTTCTGGTTAAAGGTCAATTTCCATGGGAAAAAATTACCAAGTCGTCTCCATAGAGTCTAGAGTTCTCTTTTTGCAGACAGAAACAGGAGACCTGTCTCAAGATCTCACACTTGAATATTTGCCAAGTAAAATAACTCTGTGACCATCTCATTACAGCACACTTTTGGCAGTTCATCTATTTCGAAGTGTGTCATGTAATTTTTAGTTCTCTCTCCGAAGTTCATCCTGTGGCTTTCCCGTAACTTTTTAGCAGTCATCATTTCCTACTATTCCTCTGTTGTTCCCCACTTATGGCTTACCAAATTCAAATTCCTGAGCTCTTTCTGATTGCAGTTTGTTGTGGAAACATCACATGGAATCCCTGAAAGTAATGTATTTTAGTAGATAGAATTTTTGCTGTTGTTGTCTTGGGTTACTTGCCCTTGTTTTGTGTAAACTAAATTTTGAAGACAAACTTTTATTCCTCTGCTTCTGCTACCCCTTACTTACTGAATCACTGGAGTACCCACTGCCTCAATCTTTGTTGCATACTTACCTACACAATAGTCACAGTTTCTATAAATTCTTTTGTTTTTGTTATGTACAGTCCTTTAATTCACTCGCTCAGAACTTTATAAGTCACCTTTGTCTTCATCTTCCTGCTTCGTAATTCTCTCTCCCATCTCACTACCTCCCAGTGCTAAATCAACCAGGCTGTGTTGGATATGTGGGCCAATGGGCCACAGACAGCAACATCCTGGTTGAACGGGTAAACAACAGATAAGTCCGGCCCCAGGTTATGCCATATGATGAGGAAAACTCTCAGAATTAGGTATATCACCATTTAAGAGTACTCTGCTGCAGCTCTACATAGGTCACAGGACACACGCCCTTGATCTTTCATGTCACGGGAAGGCACAATGTTCCATTTATTGTTGTTTGCCAGGTCTCTTCAGTATATTTTAATAGAGAGCTTTGTCTTTCATAGAATACATACTCTTTTTTTTCAGTCCCTCTTTCAATTGACTCCTATGATCACAGTGGTACCTCAAGTTTTGAACCGCTCCCAACTCGAACACTCACGTGAATGTATTTTTGTAAGTGCATTTTTGGGGACCTGAAATGGACTAATGTTAATTTACATTATTCCTTGTGGGGACAAATTTGGAATGAATTAAGTTCGTAACTCAAGGTTCCACTGTACTTTGTTTTTCTGTTTGAAAATATTATCATACATATGCTGTCTATTGTCATTTGTCCACAGTTGAGCTGTTGCACTAAATATTGGCACATACTCAAACTTTCCTAATTAAGGACGTAGCGATGCCAAAAGTTTTACCAATACCAGTACAGTGGACCCCCGGTTAACGATTTTAATCCGTGCAAGAGGGCTCATCGTTATGCGAAATAATCGTTATGCGAATTGATTTTCCCCATAAGAAATAATGGAAATAAAATTAATCCGTGCAAGACGCCCAAAAGTATGAAAAAAAATTTTTTTTACCACATGAAATGTTAATTTTAATACACACAAACTGAAAAAGGCATGCACAATTACATGACACTTACTTTTATTGAAGATCTGGTGATGATTGATGGGATGGGAGGAAGGGAGAGCATTATCTTCTTACTGTTTTAGAAGGGGAATCCCCTTCCATTAGGACTTGAGGTAGCAAGTCCTTTTCTGGGGTTACTTCCCTTCTTCTTTTAATGCCACTAGGACCAGCTTCAGAGTCACTGGACCTCTGTCGCACAACAAATCTGTCCATAGAGCTCTGTACCTCCCGTTTCTTCAGACTTTCCTAAAATGGGCCATAACATTGTCATTGAAATAGTCACAAGCACGGCTTGCAACAGCTGTGTCAGGGTGATTTTCATCTATAAAGGTTTGCAGTTCAAACCACTCTGCACACATTTCCTTAATCTTTGAAGTAGGCACAATGGATTCCACAACTGGCATAGGCTTCTCAGGGTTAGCCCAAACCCTCAAAATCTTTCTTAATTTCCATACTAATTCTCACCCTTTTTACCACAGGGTTGGCACTAGAAGCTTTCTTGGGGCCCATGGTCACTTATTTTCCAGAAACACCACCGAAAACACTGTAATAATACGAAATATTCCGAGTGTATGCTTGGATGTTACCGCGGAGGCTGGCTGGTAAACAATGGGACGGCCGGCACATGTGAGGGCACATTGGACGCGTCTCGGACGAAAATCGGTATGCGGGTTTTTAATCGGTATGCGGGGCAAAAATTTTGCGATAAAAGTAATCGTTATGCGGAAAAATCGCTATGCGATGCCATCGTTATGCGGGGGTCCACTGTACTCAGTTGTAGGTCAATATCAGTACCAATACTTTTAGTATTTTTATTTATTAAATTGTGATAACTGGGTTCAGCAAGTGGAATAGGTGGTAAGTTACTAAATGCTGTAGAGTTTTTATGGGGATAGTGAGGCTCAGGTTAGGGTGTGTAGAAGAGAGGGAGACTACTTCCCGGTAAAACTAGGTCTTAGACAGGGATGTGTAATGTCACTATGGCTGTTTAATATATTTATAGATGGGGTTGTAAAAGAATTTACCTCTTTTACTAGGGTGTTGGGGAGAGAGGGTGGGAATAAATTATGGGGAATCAAATACAAAATAGGAATTGACACAGTTGCTTTTTGCTGATGATACTGTGTTTATGGGAGATTCTAAAGAAAAATTGCGAAGGTTAGTGGATGAGTTTGGGAGTGTGTGTAAAGGTAGAAAGTTGAAAGTGAACATAGAAAAGAGTAAGTTGATGAGGGTATCAAATGATTTAAAGAAAAATTGGGGAGGAGGAATATGGAAGAAGTGAATGTTTTCAGATGCTTGAGAGTTGACGTGTCGGCGGATGGATTTATGAAGGATGAGGTTAATCATAGAATTGATGAGGGAAAAAAGGCGAGTGGTGCATTGAGGTATATGTGGAGACAAAATACTTTATCTATGGAGACAAAGAAGGGAATGTATGAAAGTATAGTAGTACCAACACTTATATGGGTATGAAGCTTGGGTTGTGAATGCAGCAGTGAGGAGGCGGTTGGAGGCATTGGAGATGTCCTGTCTAAGGGCAATGTGTGGTGTAAATATTATGCAGAAAATTCGGAGTGTGGAAATTAGGAAAAGGTGTGGAGTTAATAAAAGTATTAGTCAGAGGGCAGAAGAGGGGTTGTTGAGATGGTTTGGTCATTTAGATTATTATTATAATCAAAAAGAAGCGCTAAGCCACAAGGGCTATACAGCTATACATTTAGAGAGAATGGATCAAAGTAGAATGACATAGAGAGCATTTAAATCTGTAGGGGAAGGAAGGCAGGGTAGGGGTCATCCTCGAAAAGGTTGGAAGGAAGGGGTAAAGGAGGTTTTGTGGGTGAGGAGCTTGGACTTCCAGCAGGCGTACATGAGCATGTTCGATAGGAGTGAATGGAAACGAATGGTATTTGGGACCTGATAACCTGTTGGAGTGTGAGCAGGGTAATATTTAGTGAAGGGATTCAGGGAAACCGGTTATTTTTATATAACCGGACTTGAGTCCTGGAAATGGGAAGTACAATGCCTGCACTCTAAAGGAGGGGTTTCGGGATATTAGCAGTTTGGAGGGATAGGTTGTGTATCTTTATATGTATATGCTTCTAAACTGTTGTGTTCTGAGCACCTCTGCAAAAACAGTGATTGTGTGTGAGTGAGGTGAAAGTGTTGAATGATGATGAAAGTATTTTCTTTTTGGGGATTTTCTTTCTTTTTGGGTCACCCTGCCTCAGTGGGAGATGGCCGACTTGTTAAAAAAAAAAATGACTAGCCTTGTATCATATAGGGCGACTTTTTCTTTTACAGTATATAAATCTCCCTTTGAGTAAAGTATTTATTAAATCTGTTGCATTAAGGAGCAAGTCTTTTTTGACATGTTATTTTTAACTTATGACTTTCGTTTTTATTTTGGTGTTGAAACTTACTTTATCACGTAAAACCAGACAGAAGTCGGATTAATCTTAAAATTTGATGTGAAGTGTCATTGGAAGCAAAGACATAACCCAGACCCCACTACCCATGACTTATTCTACAAGTGAGTCATAGGGTTCCACTTGCTCGTTCAAGGTGGCACAAATAGCTCAGCCATATAAAAAAGATTTTTAATTTTGAAGACTCAACCCTTGAGGTTTGAGAACATGCAAGCCAAAATGCTGCCAACACATAGTGGCCTGCTTCAAATCTATTTCAGTTGAGCTCATGTTGGAAGGTTGACTGGTGTCAACTACTCGTTGTCGGTGGGTAGCCAGCAAACCTCCAAGAGGAGTCGCTGAAAGCAACTCTCAAGGGTCATATTCACTCTCACATACAACCCATAAGAACAGTCAGTACAATGTAAGTCATAGATCTTAGCTAATAATCCTCCATCTCAAGAGCTTATAAAGAATGGAAAACACACAAATATATAGATTAAAATATTTATAATTTGTGGTATGTTGCAATATTTCCTACCTAATATTCTGTATAACATTACAGTAGAACCTCGGTTTTTGTGAGGCCTAGTCTGTATGTAAAACTATAGTTATTCTTTATAAAATGTATTTTTTGTTAATATTTTTGGGTGTCTGGAATGGATTAATTGAATTTACATTATTTCTTATGGGAAATATTAATAAAAAATACATTTCGTAGAGAATAACTAGTTTTTACATACAGACTAGGGCATACGAAAACCCAGGTTCCACTGTACCTCCTTTCAAAAAACCAGGTTAAATTATTGTTACTAAGTATATTTTTATTGTGTATCTTGAGGTTTTAGAGCATCATTGTTATTTTGGACTCTGTAGCTTGACTTTTTCAGACCAAAATGCTGTGTGTATTTTAAACTGCAATTGATTACATTACTGTACAGGGGGTTGCCCAGCTTGCAGCTTGTTATCCTATACATCCTCATCTTAGGTGAATACACTGGTTTTAACTTCATTCTTAAAAATGAATTAGATGTGGAATAATAGTGATGGGTAATGTAAGATTATAGCAAATCTAATTTTATTGTTTAACAATGAAATAAAAGCACTCTACTTGCCTAAGATAGGTTACTTCTCCAATTCCTTCCTCTTCTCTTCCTTTCCTCCTCTTCTATTCCTTCCTCTTCTCTTTCTTTCCTCCTCTTCTATTCCTTCCTCTTCTCTTCCTTTCCTTCTGTTCCTTTCCTCCTATACTTTCCTCTACTCCCATTCCTTCCTTTTCTCCAATCTTTTCCTCTTCTCCCATTCCTTTCTTTTCTCCAATCTTTTCCTCTACTCCCATTCCTTCCTCTTCTGTCATTCCCTCTTTCATTGTCTTTCATTGCATCTAGCACAACACTACATATTCTCTGCCCCTCTACCCCTCACTGGTGTGGTTTGGTGTAGGTGGGAGAATGTGAGTGAGGGAAGTACAGTGTCAGTTAAAAAAAAAACTTTGCTCATTACTCTGTTTTATACAAAAATTTAGCTTTGACTGTCAACAAAAGTGCTGTACAAGTTATATAATCTGACCTTTTTTTGACTTATATGTGCTGCACATGGAGTCTACTAAAGATAAAAAAATAAGCAGCATCCATAATGACTCACATCTTCATGAGCTCCTTTTCAGTTTTGGCACAGATCAGGCATCTTGTCACTTTAGGTTGTTCTTCATCTTGTCATGCATTTTATCTTGGATTTAAGTCTGGGTTATTACCAGACCTATCAAACATTAATATTGTTATCACTGAACGACTCTTTAACTATATTGGATGTGTGACAGTCCGCATTATGTTTGCTGAAAAACTCACAGCCATGAATATCAAATGACAATTTCAGATGGTCCTCTAGTACCTCAGTATACTGCATCCCATTCATTTTGTTTTAAGGAAGGGAGAACAGTCCTGCTCTTCCCTTTACAGCACTGAAAGTACACCACACCATATTGTCTGAGTGTTTAACACTTTTCTCCAGTTCTGGAGTTCCTGACTCTTCAGTGCTCTCCCGCTGTGGATAAGAGGAATTACCTACAAATCCCTTGCTGTCTTCAAAGGGGGAACTGGACAAGTTCATCAGATCAGTGACTGACCAACCAGGCTGTGGTTTGTACATTTGACTATGTGAGGCCAGTAGTAACATCCTGGTTGACCAGGTCTTGATTCCCCCGGAGGCCTGGTCTGGGACTGGACCACCAGGGAGGTGGGGGGTTGACCCCCAGAAGCATCTTACAGGCATACTTGGGATTTCGCTTGTTGCTACCATAAGGGTGACAAACTCACCCTGACATACCTTGGATGCACCTGAAGTTAGCTTCATCACTAAACATCACCTTTCTCCACTTCTCTGAACCTCAGTGTTTGTATTTATCACACAAATCCAGCCTCTTGGTTGTCATGGCCTTTGATAACTAAGGTTTTACAACTGTGCCTCAAGGGAATCGGGAGGTGATACTGTAGCATGTGGGATGTGATCCTCTCCAACTTATATTTGAGCAGATTTGGGTGGATTTTCTTTACTTCAGATGATGAAATTGCATGGTTCTAATCACTAATCTTTTCAGTAACTGACTTGTCTCTATTGAGGTCTTTGTAGGTCAAGCATAGATTGGTTGTTTAGGAGCAGGAACCACATTGGGTGGAAGATCATGTGACCTCTGAGGGAGATGTTTATTTTGGTAAAGCATTTGGCCAGTGACCCATGGAAAGTGCTTCAGGATAAACAGTATAGATTAGCACCTCCCTAGTGTACTTCCTTACTATGACTAGAAACCACAAGTGTACTTCCTTTGGCTAGACACCACCACCACTTGATGTACTACAAGTGTACTTCCTTGCTTTGGCTTGATACCAACACTCTTTAACCTTTGCACTGTCTCCCACAAAGGTCTACATCATTGACACCAGTGTCACTCAGGTAGATGTGTGTTTTGGATGCAACTCCCTCAGATATACTGAGTAATAAATATTGACCTAGACATGAGAGTGGGTTTTTGTGGCGGGCTTGCACATCATAAAAAAAAATCTTGCCTCATGCAGTGCATGATGGGAAAAATAAATCTCTGACCTTGTGTTTGGTTTAAAATTGTGACTTTGAGGTGTGTTCTAGGGTAGTTTTTATATTTTAATTTTCCCTTTCTTGTTATCATTTGATAGAATAGAAGACATAGTAGCTACTTCCCTTCTGCCAGTTTCAGAAGGAAAGTAGCTTGAAGTAGTGGAAGTATACACAAATAACCCACACATAGGAGAGGAGAAGCTTACAAGATCTTCAGTTATTGGGACACCCTAAACCGTGACGAGTCATTCTTGGTTATGTTTAATTTTTCAAAAAAAAACAGGGTAAAAACCTTACTTTTTTTGTGTGTAATGGTAGAAACGTTTACAGAGTTTATTTTAGATTCGTTTTGAAAACACCATCACTATTTTTTTTTTTTTTTTTTTTTTTTTATATAATTTTGTCCACAACTGGCCAAATTAGGGACTTCTTGTGCTTAGTCAATAGATCGGAAAGTATTGTAAGAAAATAGCTAGGTATTGGATCAGTTTGAGCATTGCAATTGGCTTAAAATAGGACTCAAAGTTGGGCAAAATCACCAATACATAAATTGTACTTAGACCACAAAATTTGCACCTATATAATTTCCGTAAGTTTGCCATCAGATTTTGTATTTTTAGTGTCATTACCACCAGAAAAAGTTTCTCTACCATTTCAATTTTTTTAATTGGTACACAGTCAATATTTTTAATTTTGGGGGTCATGACAGTGAAATATGGTTAATGATGTGCTACAAGTGTGCTTCCTAACTTCCTAGACATTACCACCACTTGATTATATGCTACAAGTGTACTCCCTTATTTCAGCTACACACCACCACCACTTGAATATGTGCTACACTTCCCTAATCAACTGTTTTCCCATTTGATTTTGCTAAATGCTTTGGTCTTTTATTTTTCTTCTCTCCTGTTTGCATTTTTTTTAACACACTGACCATCTTCCACCTAGGCAGGGTGACCCAAAAAGGAAATACTTTCACCATCATTTACACTATAACTGTCTTGCCAGAGGCACACAGAGACTACAGTTTAGATGTCACTCTAAACAATAAATATCCTTTAAAGTGCAGGCATTGTACTTCCCACCTCCAGGACTCAAGTTTGGCTAACTGGTTTCCCTGAATCCCTTCACAAAGTATTACCCTGCTGACACTCCAGCAGCTCTTGAGGTCCCCAAAACCATTTGTCTCCATTCTCTCCTATCTAACACACACACATGCCTGCTGTTTACGCATGGTAATTAAAATTCGACTCGCATCACCTCATGCATTTGTCATGTTTGTTTCTCACTGCAAAATAAAAGCCTAGGGAAATATTTAACAAGTGTTAAGTTCACTTTGTTGCATGTTTAAACCTTTAAACCATGTAAATATTGTGGCTACAACCAGTTATTGAAGGCAATGGAGTTCCCAGAGTGAGTACAACACCAAACACAAATCATCTTCTTTCAACAAACTGGCTGTATCCCACCTAGGCAGGGTGGCCCAAAAAGGAAAACAAAAGTTTCTCTTTTTAAATTTAGTAATACCAAACACAAATATATATAGATATAGCACAACTTTATTATTCACTCCTCTTAGACTGTATCTAGTATATAATATTTAATGTTCAACTTATGCAGGCTGTTAATGGTGGTTTTCTTCACTTTTCAGTGGATTGTATCAGGATCTGAAGACAATTTTATTTACATCTGGAATCTTCAAACCAAAGAAATTGTTCAAAAATTAGAAGGACACTCAGGTAATTATTATATTTTTTATATATGTATTACGTATTTACATTTGATCAGTGTAGTGATGCATTTCTGAAAAATCTGCTGGGAGTACATGACTTAAATGCTAGTGAAAGTTGCAAAATCCTTCCTATTGTCAGTTATAATCCCCAGCCAGAAATATGACACAATGCAGCTATGATAAATTTAATCTAACAAAAAACATTGTAAAGTCAGCCAACCCAACCATTGCTGTGATAATAGGTAATTTCAAGCCTGGTAATGTAAATTGGGATACCATATACTGATCCAAAAGTGAGGAGCAGGATACTTAATGCTGTAATGTACTTAGCTCCACAATGTAGGTTGTTATTGTTATATGATGCACTAAACCTGTGTGGAGTGTTCACTACAAGTAACAGTACAAGCTTGTTCTTTGGTCTGCCAGTAGCAAGACAAAAACTCAACTCTTGCAGCCAGGCTTTGTTTCTCAATAATACAGAATGATCCAAGGCAACGTGTTCAAGAGTTCAAGACATGACACAATTAAGAGTAGATGAAAAAACAGCTAGCCAGGACTGTATTTTCATCACCATTCAGGTGAATATAGAAAAAAATTAATATGAAGTTTCCCTGAAAACAAGCAATCTTTGTTGACATTCTGCTACTTGATGTATGTACAGTATAAGTAAAAAAGCAGAAAAGTGGATGGAAAATCAGACCGATGTATATGAGGTGGCTTTTAAATAATGAGGCTTTTTTGGCATAAGTATTGTGGAACTCCAAAATCAAAAGGTAGTCTACCCAGGAGAATCTGAAATTTTTCAGCCAGAAGCATAAAGAACCAATGGACAGACTTGGACCTGACCACTGGGAAGTACAGTAGTTTAGTAGCACTACGACAACCCTTGACTCAGCTCACAGTGTAAGGGACCTTAAACTAGGAACAGAAGAGAGTGGAGAAAAAAGTTCAGAACTATCTGCCAGAGACCAGGGAAAGCTAGCAGTAGAACTAGAAATTAGTATTGTCGTGCATGAAGAACAAGCTGCAGGCTGAAAAATGCAAAGCAGCCAAAGAAAACACAGACCCAAAATTACATCATGGGCATGCTGAATGAAAAAAAAATCGGTGAAAAATCATATCAAGAAAGAAGGGAATGCAGTCACAGGAGATGATTGTGAAGTTTGTGGTGAGCTCAACAAAAGACTTGAATCCATTTACAATAAACAAGACCCAGTACCATAGATAGAAGGGAGGGCAGACTAAGCAGCAGTAGTTAGCAGTCAAATGATTCTTTAGGTCATAGGTATGTAATACAAGTTAAAGAATAAGACATGCATATGTGCAGCACCTGGGTATCTTTACTGAGAGATGCTTTGTCCATCAGGAGCTTTCAGAGACATGAAAATGGGTTTTTATGGTGGAGCCAATAGGAGGATAGTAGTAGTCCAGCAGTATACAGTGGTACCCCAAGTTTCAGCCATAATTCGTTCCAGAAGGCTGTTCGAGTGCCGTTACCGAATGAATTTGTTCCCATAAGGAATAATGTAAATTAGATTAGTCTGTTTCAGACCCCCAAAAATACACTTACAATAATACACTCGCATAATTGTTCGATTTGGGGGCTGTACGAAACTCAGGGTACCACTGTATGATGTGGTCACATGTGGCTGGGACTCAATAGTGGAAGTAGGTCAGGCCCACTAGGTGGATTACTACATTAACAATCAAGTTGTAGAGACATTTATTTTCCTACAAGGAAGCTAGTGGTCATTCTAGTAGTGGAGCCAGTTGTGGTCCTGACTTACTTCACTAGTGGGCCCAACCCACATGTAACCACATACACTACTGCTGCTTCACTACTACTTTCACTGGCTATACTTTATAAATGGGTCCATTCTCGTGTTGAGATGAGACTGATAAAGTCCTTGGTGAGAAAAACACCTCTCAATAAAGATACCTATGTGTTGCACATGTATCTTGCTGATTCAAGCAAGTGAATGAGTAAGTTACGAATTTTGTAACAACTTAAGACATCAATGGAAACACCACTTCAGTATTATATTATCAAAACCAAGATCTTACTTAATATATTCATTCCTGCATATCTTTTGTGTCCTAATTAAGATATTCACTGTTTCCACCTTTTAGTATGCAGAGCAAGCTGTTAATGGGACTGTTTCATTCAGAGTTGAACTTTGTTAACTCATAGAGAGGATACTTTTTACACATACAGTGGACCCCCGGTTAACAATATTTTTTCACTCCAGAAGTATGTTCAGGTGCCAGTACTGACTGAATTTGTTCCCATAAGGAATATTGTGAAGTAGATTAGTCCATTTCAGACCCCCAAACATACACGTACAAACGCACTTACATAAATACACTTACATAATTGGTCGCATTCGGAGGTAATCGTTATGGGGGGGTCCACTGTATATTGAAAGAGATTGAGGTAATTCTGTTGAATCTTCTATACGGTTCACCATCGAAGAAAAGAGAGTGAGACAATATACTTCCCTTTCTAGATGTCTTAATTAAAATACAGTAGATCAATTTCTAAAATTTTAGGTTTACCATAAACCCACTAATAAAAAAAGATCTTGGCCCTCATGTAGTTCTACATCATGAGCTCAGCTCATTCAGATAAGCTGTGAGCATTAAATTTTGGCCTAGATATGAGAGAATGGGTCTGTGCAGTGAGTGTGCACCATATAAAAGAAAAATCCTGCCCAACGTGGTGTATGATGGGAAAAACAAAACTATGGCCGTATGTGTGGTTTAAAATAGCAATTTGTGGTGTTTTCTCAGATGGCTTTTATGGTTTTATTGGCTGTTTCTTGGTATCATTTGATAGAATGGAAGACATATTGCTGAAACAGAAATTATTTTGGAAGGAACTTGAAATTGAACTCAAAGTAGCGGAAATATTTGATTTTTGTCGATATTTTGGAGGACAGGTAAGGCCTTCCTACAACCCCCAGTCTGTTTTATGTATTATTGTATAGGTCTGATTCAATTATTGGGATGCTGTAAGCCATAAATAATTTTTCCTGGTTATATATTATCCAAGATATAGAGTAAATCCTCTGTTTTTTGTGAAAATAGGAATTCAAAATGCTTGCTCCCAGGTCTCTTACATTTCTCATCCACTCTGTAGAGCGGCTTGATTGCATCTTGTACGCTATACCAAACTCAAAAGCATTTTGAACCAGTCATAACACCAACTGTTTTAGCTAATTTATCAGCTGTCAAGATTTATTTTCCATTTTAATATTTAATGCTGTTGTTTTTACAGATGTTGTATTATGCACAGCATGTCATCCAACACAAAACATCATCGCATCTGGAGCACTTGAGAATGATAAAACTATTAAGTTGTGGAAAAGTGATACTTAAAAGCAAGCAAGCCTCATGCAACATAAGAAGGCATCTCCAGATATAAATTATCCTGTGACAAATAGAAACTGATACACGTTTTTTTTTTTTTTTTTTTTTTTTTTTTTTTTTTTTTTTTTATTATTATTATTATTATTACTGTGTTATGGCTGTAAATAGAAGAGTGTTACTTCTCTAGCAATTTCATATTCCTTTAAGATTATGAAATTACTGATGAATATTTTAAGTTCAGTGATGGAATAATTCAGGTACATTCTGCAAGATCACTATTGAGTTAAATATTAATATGCGTGTTGAGTGTTTGTGTATATAACTCGCTGAACAGAGTTATGTATGTCAGACGTGTTGTGTATGTATATACCATATATATATTACAACAGAATGGTAGCAGATATGAAAATTCAGTTTACTGCAAATGATAGCTGGACTAATAGTTTTCATACAGCTTCATGGTTGTCTAACATAAGGAAGCTTACCATGTTCACCTCTTATGTCTCGTAACACTGCTAAGTGATACTCCAGCTCATTCTATATACATGTATTGGCTAACATCTCTTGTGTGACTTTTCTGATGCCAACATTTATTCTAGTATGGAGTGCTTTAGTGCCAGCTACTGGTATCTGGAAAACAAGAAAAAGTCTGAGGGCATGATTTTAATGAAGGTGGATGGGGAAGGGGGGGTTATTCAGCGGGACAGTGACTCTCGGTCCATCTACCAGGAAACCTCACGTTTAAATAATTATGCTATCACATGCAGAGAACTACATTTTCTTATCTTTTACCAGACTGTTATAATAAAATCTTGAAAACAGAAAAAGACTGTGAACTGGCATTTCACAATGTGGTGGAGATTACAATGTGTGTAAGGACTACTAGACACTAGTCCCACAACTATAATGAGAGTGCCAGTTAGTTAAACCACTTGGTTGAGAACTTTCAAAAACCTTCCAATTATTTTTTCCAGTGTTTCTTGATAGTACTTATTTCTGTATTTTTTTTTTTTTTTTTCACAGATGGTTGTTGCAATCATTGCCCTATAACCATGTGTCATAAGAGGTGATGGGAATGCAGCACACAAGAGGCGGGTTATATTATCTCTCTTTATACATATACCAAGAAGAAAAAGATTTAAGTTTTGAAGATAGGTAGTCTTGAGTTTACTTAGATGTATGTACATTAGCATGGATGTTAAGAAAATTGATTACAAGGATTGTTTGGTGTAAAATAAATATGGTATGCAAAAAGTGAGTTATAATAAGTGTTATGTTTGTATAGAGAAAAAATATTCTGAAAGATATTAAGTGAATGTTTAGGAAATTTGGAGCCAAAAGAGAGAACAGTTGTTATGGAAGACCTTAATACTGTCAGGGGAGACTTGTAGAGGGCATAGTAAGAAAATTTTTTGGAGTGCCAGAGGCAGAATGGCATTGGAAAATCTAATTGAGTTGGGTTTAACAGAAGTTTTATAATAAGCAGTATACATTTCAAACAAAACAAAGTGCTGCATATAAGTGCATGAAAATACATGCATTTAGAGGAGTGACTTGAGTGTCTGATCAGTATTTAGCAGTAGCTAGAGGAAGAGAAAGGTGGCATACAAGGAAAATGGTGTCAGAAGGTAGAAGATAAGTGAAATTGAAAATATTAAAGAATATGATGATTAGTTAGAGGTATGAGAAACTGTTGGAAGAAAGATTCTTGAGTGATGAGAGAAGTGATTAGGGGGCAGTGTTATGTGGATTGACAAATGCAGTGCTAGTGTGTGCAGCAGATGTTTGTGGTTATAAATGGGCAGTACAGGATACTGCAATTATTGCTGGAGTCATTAGGGGAAGAAAATGTTAATAACTACTGAAATTTCCCAAAACATTATATAATTATCAAAGATCAACTATAAGATATCTAACTGTATCAGACTCAGTATCTCTTAAGACCATGCATACCATTCACGTATAATGCAATCCCATTCACTAAAGACATTAAATAACCACAGTGACGTCAATCAACTCTGTCCACTTTTACTGAAAAATACTTTTCTTCACTTCTACATACCATAACCCGAGCTCACTATTCTCATAAAAACTCTACAGCTTTCAAAAACTTAACACCTACTTCATACATTTAAATCATTATCCACATCACTCTCCTTTCCTATTCTTTTCCTTATCAAGGTACTAACCACTTATATCCTTCACTGCAAACATTTGATATGTACACACACGCACATGAAAGTAAATAAATCTTTGTATACATATCTATACAGATAGATATAGTGTCAAACTTCAAGTCTCGAACTTGCTGATTTATTCAGCATGTTTCATCTTGCAAGATGTCTGTATTTTATTGGTTGTAAATAATTATAATTAAAGTTAGACGACTAATTTATATTCAAATTTTAGAAACATTGGGCAACATTATCAAGTTAGATTTGATAAAAAAATTCAAAATTTTTAGTGCAATATAATACAATTTTTCTATCAGTCCATAGCAAACTCTTCTCTAACACAATCAGACATGCCTGTTGAATGTTTTAACCATTAATCTACCTGTCTCGCTCTTGCCATACTAAATGACTAAACCAAATCATCACCATTTCCACTTTTTTGAATTATCCTTATTCCTTAACTAATTTTTTCACTTTTAGTCTGCATAATATTCACACTACATACACATTGATCTCAATATGACATTTCCACTGTCACCGGCCTTCTCTTTGCTGCAACACTCATTAACTATTCCTCAGGGGAGACCTGGTCAAGGACTGGGTTATGGGGACATTGAACCCCATGGTCTATACTCATACATTTTTTCATCCACAGATTCTTCAAGATTAGTGTTGAGGAATCTGTATGTCTCATCCACAGATTCCTCAACACTAGTGTTGAGGAATCTGTGGATGAGATATACATGGTCATCTAAGCACTGTTGCTTAGATGACCATTGAGAACCCTCTCAAGTGAAGGGAGAAAAGTGATGCGGATGAGAATGATGAGACAGGTGGGGATGGGGAATAAAGTTAGTGTCACTTTTTTAATCTAGCAGCTCCAAGTTTGATGTGATAGTAGGGTGATCAACACAGAGACACTGGTGTGAGTATTGTTATTGTAGGAAGAAACTCGCACACTATCCTCATACCTCTGCAACTACTCTCTTTGTTGATAGTAAAGGTCTTGCTCTAATTTTTTTATTGAATTTGATAAAGGCTTAGAAAAATTGTATAACAGAACTTCAGTTTCTATTGAAAAACAATCATGTCAAGTTTTTAAAAGTTATTTTTATTCCCTGTATATTGTGCCCAGTAACTAGGCAGTCAAATTAATTATTTTTAATGAAACTACGCAGACTGTAAAGTGTGAAGTGTTTTGAAGTTTAAAATCTGTGTATTATGAAATGGAATGACTTAATAACAATTGTAATATATCCATCTATAGTTTCATTTATAAGTTCTTTAACCTTTTTACTGTACTAGGCAAAATATGTTGTCAGAGCCAAATAGGTATTACAAAAACAATTATTTGGTGCACTGAACTTTTTCAGATCCAGTGCGCAATTTCTTTTCAAGATTTGTGTGACTGAATGTAGCATTCTGAGCAGATTTTCATAGCATTACTTCAGCTTTCTTTAATCCTTTATCAGGCATACTTCATACATGTATACTGTGACCTATTGTTTTTCAAGTGTCTGTTTGTCTTATTCACCACAGTGTTGTGAACAAGACGTGCAATGTCAGGGATCTTTATTATGAAGTTTCGTCATCTAGTGGCGAGACGAGATAATCAATCTCTCAGCCCTGATAGGTGCTGCAGTTGGAGGGTAAACTGATTTGTAATGTCAATACACTTCTGGCAAGAAAGTCACTAGCATGCCTGAGCATTTTGGGCAGACTAATCCTAATGCTTACACACTACTTAAAACTAGACATAGGTTATGGAGTGGTAAATTCAAAGTACGTATTCATTATTTTACATTATTACAATAGAGAGGTATATAATCTGAGTGTTAAACCCATAAGGATCATACAGCACTGCAAGACTTACATCACCTGTACAAACTTTGGGAGCTACTGCTGGCTCACCACATGGAGAAGACCCGGGCCAGGACCCATCTTGGCAAACCTACATGAACACGAACTGCAGGGAGGAATGTTCAAAAGAATGTGTAAACGTTAGGAGTGAGTGGGAGGTAGGGGTGTGCAAAATTGGGGATTAGTGCAAGAGCAAAATTGAATTGAAATTTGGCACAATAGGTTGGTTTCCATTAAAAGTCAGTCTGTATCAGAGGTAGGACTTTCAGTGTAGATGTTAGGGAGTGTATTTTACATGCCCTCTGATAGACAGGATAATCTATTAAGATATGTTGGACAGTTCTTACAATGCCAGTCATTTCTCCATGTGATAGCTGAGTGAGGTGCACGTGTCCAGTTGTTGAAAGAGCACTACAAAATCAGATCAAGAATAGCTCACCAACCGAGTCTGCTTGTTCACTGCCTTGAACACCATGTCCAGAGATCCAGCATAATACAACTTCATTGATTTTACGTGAAATGCAACATAATCAAAGTTCTGTACGGAGAGTAATGGGATGAGTTAAATTTCTTGATAGCTTACACAAATAACCCACACATAGGAGAGAGGAGCTTACGACGCCGTTTCGGTCCAACCTGGACCGTTTACCAAAGACGTAAGCTCCTTTCTCTTATGTGTAGGTTATTAATCCAGTCTTGGTATTGTGCCTTTTAGTTCTTTCTGGATAGCTTGTAATGCACTGTGGGAGTCCAAACAACTATGAAGGACAAGGCAGACAACACAATGTGTATGAAGAATGAGACACTTTTGCAATATTTGGGAATCTTTATTGAGGAAATGGTTCACCAGCCAGTGATTGTTTTCAGTTCAATAGAAAAGAATGGTGGACGATGAGGAGAAGTTTGAGGCAGTCAGTCCCTCAGCCTGGAGTCGATGTGTCCAGTCCATCAATCTTGAGAAAAGTACAGCATATTCTAGGAAAAGTGGCTTATATACTGCAGTCAGGTGAGTAGAAGCAAGAGGCAGTCATCAATGGACAAATCCACTAGTGGTAGCTGGTCATGCTTGTAGGTTAGGCAAGCCTAGAAGAATTTCCTGTATCAAGATCCCAAGATGTTGCAGTGTCTGACAGATGCAACGTCTTGGGAATTCTACACTTGCCTAACCTACGGGGATGACCTACTTACACTAGTGGATTTGTTCAGTGGTTCTGCTGCCGCCTACTTCTACTCACCTGACTGCAATATATAAGCCACATCTCCGAGCATATGCTGTATTTTTCTCAAGACTGATGGACTGAACACATCGACTCCAAGCTGAGGAACTGATTACCTCAAACTTCTCATCTTCCACCATTCTTCTCTGTATTGGACTGAAGAAACCACAATTATAGTGAATGACCTTAATTATTATTTCAAGAAAAACAGCTGCATACCAGACACCATTAGGATATTTTGTATCTGCAAACTACAATAGCACATGAAAAAGATTAGAAGCGATCAAGAAAGAGTGAGCATAAAGTTGTAGGAAGTAACAGATCTTTTGCACATGGAAGTAGAGTGGAGCAAGCATGAATCATCAGAACTTCCGAAAGAGCAAGAGAAAAGTAAGATGCAGGGTGACAGTAAAAGGGAGATAAATTAAGGGAAGCCATTAGAGTGCGAATATGTAGAGGAAAGGGGCATAATAAACAGGCGACGATTAAAGAAGTAGCCCTAGTATTTTAGTTTTATATGTATTATTTTTATAATCAAAACTAAGTGCTAAACTCTCAAGGGTCATTTGGCAATGCATTCTACATTTAAAAGGGTCATGGTAGTAGATAAAATAATGGAGACAATGGATACTGCGTCGATCTTGTAAAGATGTAAAGACAGCGTATTCACCTCTGTACATAGGTTCTTGACTGGTGAAGAGTGAAAAGTCCTAAGAAACAACCCCATGACGAATGGGATCAACTTTAGTAGCAGGGAAGGCTGAAGAATACAGGTAGTCACTGTAGTCCAGTTTAGATAAGAGCTGAATGAAGGGTTAGCTCAGTTTGTCGTCTCCCCATGAAAGATGGGTTCCAGTTTTAAGGGGGTTCAAGTGGTTGTAACAAGCACAGCAGCGCTGTATAGCCCTTGTGGTTTAGCGCTTCTTTTTTATTATAATAATAATGTAACAAGCACAGCTTTCAGGGAGGTATTATGAGGCTTCCTGGACATTCAGTAATAGATCAGAAGACCGAGAAATTCGACCATATCTTGTTTAGGGATATCAGAACCATACACGTATATGCTGTATGGCCCTTATAGGTTTATAATAATAACCATACAGATATAAAATGGTATGAGGGATAATAGGGCATCTTGAGAAAGTTAGTCTAGTGTATTGTAGCAACAGAAAACTTAAAAACCTGTAAGAGGTGGCCCAGCTGGAAACATGATCAATAGCAAACTGGAGAGTGGATGCCACAAGGAGATAGTCAGCATTTGCACAAGCAATAACAAAATTGATGACATAGATAACCAAACTTTCATGGCGAGCAGGAAGAGGGTGGTGCTAAGAACACAGCCTTGAGGTACGCCTTCAACCTAGACAAAGTCAGGGAAAGTGGTGTTACTTATCCTGGTATCAAGAACACAGGTGGTAGTCTAATGGCCTGTAACACCTAGTTGTAACTAAGTCAGAAAATAAATCAATCAGCAGGGCACCGTAAACAGCAGAGATAGATTTCTTTACCCATATATTACGTCACCAATATTTGCACTACAGTGTTTATGTATACAGACATCAGAGTAATAATAATGATGCAATCAAGAGCCACCCAAAGCATGAATGATAACGTCCAGTGTGCTGAAGTCTGCCATTCAGCCAGGTGGCCGGAGTGACGTCACCTTGGCTGAGGTTGGCGACTTCCATATAATTGGATTGAACTGGAAAATAAGTGCAGCAGTTGGGCTCCATAACTGTTACACTGACTTACCAGTTCACTGGTCGAGATGGGATGCCACAAGGTTGTGTGATGAACGTAGAATAAAATGTAACATAATCGCCGGACGCCACACCCAGACACAGGTGCCTCTCCGATAAGAAATCGTTAGAGAAAGGTGCGAATTGCCTTAAAGATCTAAGGAATGAGCTTGAGCTAAGCTTTTTCAAGATTGAAAAAAGACCGATAACCTATTGGTTATAAACGAAGACATAGTGGATGTATTTATAAAACGGATTAAGGGGTCAATGGTAGAACAGCCTTTATAAAAACCATATTGATTGGAAAAAGAATTCAAGATTGCCAAGTATCATACTAGAATAAGAATAAGAAGTTTTTTCAGCATGATACATGTTTGTATAAGGAGTATAACAATCGAGTGTACATGCCTAAAGCCCATTTATATGTTTGTTAACAAGTGTTCCAGAAATTTAAAAATTGCACTAGTAAGAGCAATGGGCTTGCAGTAAGAGGTGTCATGGCTTAAAGTACCTGACTTACGAAAGGGCAAGACAACGGTGACCTTTCCATTGAAGAGGAAGAATATCTTAGGACAAATAAAAAAAATGACAAATGTAAGATGACGACGAGTGCCGTGGAGTGTAAATGTTGAGGTACAGGGATGTGAGTGTCACTAAAACCAACTGTTGTCATTTGACACATGGATAGTGTTGCACGAGTTCTCAGAGCATGAAGGGCACATTATACGGTTCCTCGGTGTGAGGAGCAGCATCAAGAGACGACGATCCTGGGGTCTGGAAGAAAGAAATGATGGGAAGAGATGTAGCCCCTGGGATACATTAACAAGGTAATGGACAATTGTTGTGGCAACCTCAACAGGGTCTGCAACGCCATTGCCACCAACTAATAATAATAATAATAATAATAATAATAATAATAATTTATTTCAGCATGAAATAATGTTTGTACAAAGGTGATATTTAGCTGTGCATGCAGAAAGCCCATAGTTAAGTAGGTTTATTCAGGTATACACAAATACAGTTACATAGATACATAGCAGCATGTATGTAGAGAACTTAGGATAACCCAAAAAAGTCAGACAAAGTGATTTATTTCCAAGAGCATTTCAGAGCAATGGTCGCGAGAGTGTTTGCCACTCAGCTGCAGCACCTTGTTGCAGACTGCACACATAGAAGTATCAGCAGTGACAGTGGACACATAGCTCACCAACAAGATGTTCTGTTGCCTGCATAACACGACGGGCACTTGGTCTCGCCTCTTCCAAAGATAGAAACTGGTCCTTAGTTCTGTTGTAAAGGTAGCAGCCCCACACAGCCTGTTTCAGATACACAGCATAAGCAGTCACAAGACTACCAGAGAACAACACATTTCCAATATTTACCTGGAAGGAGAGAGTTACAGTCGATGTTGCAGCAAGAGAAAAGGTGGTAAAATGTTGCAACA